GAAATCATAATATCAACATATTAAGCGCCTGTCAGATATATAGTTTGCATTATCGCATGTTAATATATACTAATTCTAACCGAGTATTGCTCGAATCATTAGTTCATTCAGAAAATATGCTTGGCGTCTCTATTGTGCATGATATATAGTCTTCACGCCGAGAAAATTAAGATTATCGAATCAAGTCAAATGAATATAGCTACTAATGTACCTGAAGTAAAAATGATCCTATATTGTGAATAGGCGTTCAAATCATATCTAACAGTAGGATAAGGCAGTAATAAATGAGGTTTTTCGTGCTAAGAAACGTTTCCAGGACCTTCTAAAAACGTAGCGGAAATTAGATCTGGATTGAATGAATGCTAAGCTGCGAATATTGCCATCTAATCATAATCATTTATTAATGTCGATATATGATGCATAGTAATAGTTCAGCGAATTCTAGGTACTCATTTACAAGCCGGATAGCATCAGTACTGAAAGTACTTTGCGGGAAACGCCGATTGCTTGCCGCAATCTGCAATAAATTCTTGTTATTAACTTACTCTATTCTTAAATGGTTTTTATTTGAAGATATGCACGATTATATTGCTGAAAGAACGCGCGATTATTTCCAGTTCATTCATCTTTCCGAAGTCTTCTGGGCTGTCGTGGCGAGGTGCAAATGGTGGGTTTCAACTTGCATACGGTGCTATTTGCCTAAGGTTGGGGTTCATTCTCAGAGAGAACGTGTCCTTCAGACATTTCCATATATCTTTCCACACACGATAAAAGCGTTTGTCTAATCCCGCGATAATCATTGGGTCGATGGTGATTTCGATGAAATTCAACAGTTGACATATTGATATGATTTGAACATTTTTACTCTGCAGCTGAAATACGATTATATTCGGAGCCCAAAGCAGAAGCCAGATGATATAGAAAACAAGAAATTGAATTACTAAAGATCGGTGATACTTATCACGCGCGGAAATATGATGTTGACCTCTACGTAAATGTGAAGTTAGCTGAATATAATGAGCACTTCTGTAGATAACAAATACATTGAGACTAATTGGTAGGACGAAAGCGACCGTAACATTGTAAATTTGTACGGAAGTAGCTGAGAATCTTAAATCACATATGTCACTACTATGAGCATCGAGTTTAGCCCAGTTCAATAAGATTTGCCCCAGTAAGTTTACTAATGGAAGGATATAAATTGCGAGATGTGCTACAGTCAACAATCCTGTATTTGTTTCATAGACATTTTTATTACGTGCAATTTGTGCATGTCGACAAATGTTCAATGCGAGTAAGATATATACTTCAAGTGTATTCAAATAATTATCCAATGTTGCTTCAAAATAACAGATGAATAGATACCATCCTTCACTCGGTTGGCAACCAATTACTAATGTATGTATGATAAAGAGGAAGAAAAATCGAATGACAAGAAGAATGTCCGTAACGAGATACGCATAGATCCACTGCATAGATTTCTGTCGAATAGACGAAAAGAAGATAAATTGAAGCCAAAAGAGAGAATGAGTGAAGGTAGCAATGATGCATACATAGAGTAACGGTTGTTGACTGTTGAGAGTAGACTGACGCCATAAAAGAGCAAATGTACATTCGTCGGTTGAATTATCGGATTCAGCTAATAGCCTCATTGGATTGAGATGCTTTCATAGAGATGTATTACTGATGACTTCTAAAGAAAAAAAATGAAGCTACTGAATCTAGACAAAAACAAGAACTTTCATCATTTTCCTTGCATGGGTGCATCATATGATAAAAATGAATAGAGTCCTATGTGCGTGTTCTGTATGGAATTTCAATAGTTATTTTGACTTCAGAAACAATTTTATTTTTCATTATGATAATAGATTATGACTCGTTTTTATGAGAAAGTATGTGCACACCATGTTTAATGAAGAACTGACGTCAACTAACCCTCTGTATTATTTGTAGCATCACGGATTACAGTTTGAAATCGAGAAAAATAATACCTAACTTCAGTCCAAGACGACAGCTGTCAGTTCATACTAAATATTTGAGATTAAAAATGAGAAAGATGAGAAGAGTAGGAATCTATGTGAAAAAGTTTGACACTGAGAGTAAATAAAAAGAAATTCACAGTTTATTTTTTCGTCATATTCGAAACGTAATGACATCGCAATGAAAAGAACGAGTGGGCTATGTGACATGATTGTCTCAGGAGTTCCTTTTTTTTGCCATCACAATCCGCCATATGAAAGATATTCTGATATCAATAGATTCCGTGTTAAATTCTCTGCAGAGCATATAGATGTTCTTTCTTCCGCTTCCAGGGAGAGACTTCTTATCATATTCTAAGAAACATGTTTAGTATTCAATTGTACTTGAAAAAACGCCCAAAATACTTCGAAGAACAAACTTTCCATTACAAATAATTGCACACGTATACCTTCATAACACGGCGCTTTTGAAATATATTAATTAACTGTTTGCGTCCGCTCATCAGAAGAAGTTGCATTGGCAACTTGCGTAGTATTTTGGTCAGAACATTACCCGTCATCGACAAAATTGCGGGAATTTTTCGTATCGAAACGACCATTGTAGACAAAAAGAACATGAAAAGTACCTGAATTTGATATAATTTGACCGACGTGTTAGTTTATTAAAAGTCTATTAATCGCCGATGAACTACCTTTGAGTGCAATTGAGTGAAGAAAACAGAACTGAATTGATGCTTTTCAATAATTTCTGAGGATCATGCACGGTCCCTAGATAGAATTCTAAAACAGAATACAGACGGGTTGCCAGTAGCTGATTTACACGTTCTAATTTTTGCAAGACATGTTTTGAAAAAGGATCATAGGGCAAAGCCAGATAGGAAAATCATCACTATTGTTTTTGAGTGAATAATTTTTTTAAACACTGTCCGTACGATTCCACTATCATGTTGTAGTTGGCAGCTGACGCCGCTTTCTTTGAATGCAAAATTCTTTCTTAGAATAATGTCATCGAGTACCGAAGCAGGTGATTCATTGAATGTCAACTATCTTCCACTGACACACAACATATATTGAAAAAGAAACACGGATTAAGTTATTGAAGCAGACAATAAATTGTTGTGAGTTGTGAGAATACGAGCTTGTTTCGCTTGGATAGATGCAGCACTTCTATCACATGCAGATGAGCGAAACAGATCCGTTGTTGCCGGTGCAATTCGACGTGCATTTATTCCTTCGGGACATAGAGCATTCAAGATACGCATGCGGGAGTTTCGCCAAATATGCTGGAAACGAACATCTAATGCGCCAATGATGACTGGATCAAGTGCAATTTCAATATAGTTCAATAATGAAGCGATAACTGTAATACTCGATTTTCCGCTTGTAAATTGGTAAACAATAATGTTCGGTGACCAAAACATAAGCCATATGGTGTAGAAAACAAGAAATTGAATAACCAAAGAACGATTGTATTTCTCTCGAGCAGTGACATGATGTTGTGCGCTACCTAAGCGAGAAGTGAAATGAATGTGTCGCATGTTCAAATAGACAATAATGAGATTTAGAAGAATTGGTAGAAGAAATCCAATGATAACATTGATAATTTGAACATAAATGTTGGTGAATTCAATATCACACGATGCGCCAATATATTGACGCAATTGTGCCCAATTAATTAGTAGTTGAATAATAAAAACTACTAATGGAAATATGTAGATAATAAGATGAGAACAAACGAGTAGTTTCACATGGGAAATATATACATTACGATTATGAACAATTTGTACGTACCGACAAATATTCAATGCAAGGAGAATATAAACTTCCAGCATATTCAGATAATTGTCAACGATAGCTTCGAAATAACAAACAAACAAAGACCATAATTTAGTCGGTATACAATCGGTCGATATGGTATGAACAATAAATCCAACGAAAAATCGTATCAAAAGTAGAATATCCGTTCCTAGATAAGCATAAAGCCATTGCATGGACTTTTGTCGAACAGATGGATACAACATGAATTGAAACCAGAAAATACTATGCGTGATAGTAGCGACAATACAAATGTAGAATATTGGACGCTGAGAATCTATCATCTCTTGAGTCCAATGAAGATCCGTTAGACAAGTTTCATTTGTTCCGTTAATTTCAGAGAATAGCGTGAAATTTGACATGTGTGATCAAACGACGGGCAACTACTGTATGTGTCTGTTTATATAACATTCTTGACCATTATTATCAACGGTTTTTAGAAAATTATGGCGCAGAAGGGGATGTTATTAACATAATTACTAATAAATGCTTATAGAGTCGGCATGATTATTTCTAAATAATGTAAGTATAATTAGTTTTAAATAGAGTGCGTGTGTCAAAGAGAGATTGTATACTGACGCCTAGGGTCGTTGAATAATGTTTACAATGTCAGAGATTAGAGTGTCATGTCGCCTGACTCATGTCGAAAGTAAAAATACCGAAATCTGGAAAGCAGCAGGGACCGAAAGTACAAATCTCCGTCACATTCGTTTCTGTATCCTCATCTGCACGCTCACTGTTGTTTATCGTATTTCTATGTTTTGATCAGTATCAGGTTAGCCAATTAAGATGTGTCTTTAAGTACACATATACCATGTTGTGTCCGTGTCTACGGTAATTTCTTGCATGATAAGAGATAGGTTCTATTGATTATGCCAGTATCTCATCGGAAGGCGACCAAATCAATTATAAACTGTTTTTGTTCTTGCATCATTCCGATCTCGGCATCATTAATTCATCGGATTCACATTGCTCTTTCCTATTGTAACATTGCACATAGAATATGTCTTCTACGAATATATGCATTACTTTCTGTGCAATGCATAATAGTATCTAGCGACATCTTGTTATACGGAAAACGACAGAGGACAGGATCATTTACGATGGTATGTATGGCAAAAATCAGCTGGAACAGGCGATATGTTGTTATTTAATATTGATCTGACTGGATTTTGTTTATTTTAGTTTTCGTATTTATAGATTTAGATGCTATCCCAAATAGGATCTTGGCAACGGGTAAAATGATTTTTGATGGTGAGAATAATGTGACTAGTTTGTTTTGTAATAGATCACAAACCGATGTTTCAATTGTTCTCGGACTATTCTTCTTCGAAATGCGTCATCCTCATCATCCAGTAGTGGCAAGTCAATTGTTTTCAATTTTCCACGAAAGTAGTACTATTGTTGTTTTGTAGAACAACAATTCGATCTAGTTGTTATTGGATCTGGACCTGGTGGATATGTAGCAGCTATAAAAGCTGCTCAGCTTGGCCTTAAAGTACGCAAAGAGTCTAGATAAGCATGTTTCATTTGCGAAATGTTTCGCCTACTCTAGACAGCATGTGTTGAAAAGAACGCTACATATGGTGGAACATGTCTTAATGTTGGTTGTATACCTTCGAAAGCCATGTTACACAATTCTCATCTATATCATATGGCACAACATGGTGAATTGAAGAAAAGGGGAATTGAATGTATGTGAGATGGATATACCGTTTTGAAGAATAGTTCGAACGAATTTCTGTTTTATAGTTCAAAATGTTTCGCTTAATTTACCTGTCTTTTTGAAGCAAAAAGATGATGCTGTAAAAGGTCTCACTAGTGGCGTTGCTTACCTATTTAAATCGAACAAGGTAAAGTAGTAGTCTTTAGTGAAACAGTCAAATGAAGCATGTTCGTGTTGTCAGGTAACTGGTGTTCGTGGTCATGGATCTATTAGTGGAACTGGTGAAGTAACTGTCAAGAAAGAAGATGGATCAAGTGAAATTCTGAAAACTAAAAACATCCTTATTGCTGTTGGCTCTGAAGTAACACCATTTCCAGGTATCACTGTACGTAAATCGCTGTGTTTAGTTCATCGAGAACGTTCGATTGAAACACTTTTTTCTCTATTCAGATCGACGAGGAATCCATTGTCTCGTCGACGGGTGCACTTTCACTTAAGCAAGTGCCTAAAAAGATGGTACTGATCGGTGCTGGTGTTATTGGACTTGAACTGGTAGGTCGATTCACTTACGAATTTAAACAGTAGTTTCAGCTAGATTGTGCCATTTCTTGCTAGGGTTCTGTATGGAGTCGTTTAGGTGCAGATGTGACATGTGTAGAATTTCTGTCTAATATCGGCGGTGTTGGTATCGATATGGAAGTTAGTAAAGCATTTCAAAAGATTCTCACAAAGCAAGGCCTCAAATTTAAACTTGATACAAAAGTCACCGGTGCAGAAAAGTCTGGTGACGGTATTCGTGTCAATGTCGAAGGCGCCAAAGGTGGAAATGGTGAAACGGTAAAGAGAAAGCACTTGTTATGTCTATCATACGAAATCTCTATATCAACTAGCTCGATTGCGACACTCTACTTGTCTGCATTGGTCGTCGACCGTATACCAAAGAACTCGGCCTTGATAGTGTTGGTAAGAAATACTTTGATAAATCGAATAGAACAATGTTCATATACTACCTTATTATACAGGAATTCAACTAGACAAACGCGGTCGGATTGAAGTCGATAAAAATTTTCAAACAGCTTGCAAAGGTGTCTATGCCATTGGTGACTGTATTCAAGGACCTATGTTAGCACACAAAGCTGAAGATGAAGGCATTATCTGTGTTGAAAGTATTGTCACTGGCCACGAACCACACATAGATTATAATTGTGTTCCAAGTGTTATCTATACATATCCTGAAGTATCATGGGTTGGAAAATCTGAGGAACAACTAAAACAAGAGGGAATCAAATATAAGGTCGGCAGATTTCCAATGGCAGCAAATAGCCGTGCGAAAACGATAAATGAAGCCGAAGGTTTTGTTAAAGTACTATCCGATGCTAAAACTGATCGAATACTTGGAGTACACATGATCAATTCAGTATGTTTTGTCCTATTGAGAATCATCAAACGACCGATTTCTTTTTCCTTAGGTTGCCGGTGAACTAATCAACGAAGCAGCATTAGCTATGGAATACGGAGCATCATGTGAAGATGTCGCACGTGTTTGTCACGCCCATCCAGTAAGTTTGCCATTTGCAATTGAGACCTAATCTGTCATAATCCATTCCTTCAATATAGACATGGTCAGAATCATTAAAGGAAGCTAATCTTCAAGCTTATTTTGGCAAAGCGATTAACTTTACATAATTCTCTCGACATGACTTCGAAAATCTATAGATTTTATTTTAGTTTTGTTTTTTCATTTTGTATAATTTTAGTTTATTTTTTCTCTTTGCCATATGTCGCATTTCTTTCTGTTTTCTTTTTCTCAACACTTTCACCTGCTTTCTAATAAACCAGACAGCGAAAATCTGCTCAACTTTTTTCCTTATGTTTTACAATCAGGCATATTGCTGTTCTATTAAGCAACACTTTCCGTACTGACATTCTTTTCACAGACTGCTCAAGCATAAATACTTCATAAACGATCTGTTTTTCACCACTTCTCAAGAGGAAAAAACTTCAATGTCATATGTTCGAGTAGCACCGATCGTTTCTTTTATTGTTTAATATTCCCGCAAAAGAATGTTACTTGATAAAAAAAATTAGATGGAACAAAGTTGACTACGTTCTCCATTTTCTATCGGCTCAATCTGCTCAATAGACATGGCGTAAGTTTTTATCATTCATTTGATACCTTGTCGAGACTGAAACTTTGGCGACAGATGTATTTTTAAACAAGATAATTTACTTGTCATGAAAACGCCGAAGGGAGCTAGGCAGCTGACAAGTTCAATTGACATTTTTATTCATCAAGTGACTTCATTTGATGTATTTGCCCTCCATCAGTAAGACTAATTGATAATAGAGGGAGAGTTTGTCGTGTTAAATAATATTTGAATAATAACTGGTTTGAGAGAACACTCATGATCGAGAAAAGACGACTATCAAACGAAGATTTTTATGAGATAAGAATCACCTATCAGCCGTACTCACATCTCATCTTATAAAAAAAAGTACGCCGTGCGAATAACTTAAATAAGATCGTATTTTCTGAGATGCATCTTTCCATTATTCTTTGAATTCTATGGAAAAGAATAGTTACATATCTTGTTTCTGACGTATACTTAATTAAAAACAGTCGGGTAGCCAGACACGCATATGTTGTTATTTCTTTTCTCGAGTATTAATTCAAAACATTCAATACGAATTGTTCTAATCTGTCTATTCGATACTTTATAGTCGCTTTTTTTCATTCTCCATCAATTTAATTAAGCGTTTTCCACACGATTTCTCCGCCGATTGTTTCCCGTTTCAAAACACTTGAGCCAAGGGTTGACTATGATGATTTATCATACATTAATGATTCAACGTGAAATCAAATGCAGATGTACACATGAACTTTTTCTTGGAGATGTTCGCTGATGTGAAAGAATCAACAAGAATGGAGGAGAGGTTGCTCTCGGTTCGAAAGACAACCGAGCAGGTATAGAAAAAGAAACAGACACTGATAAGCATCTAAAATTTGCACTATTGTAAAAACAAAACAGACAAACAGTTTTTTTTTTCTGTCTCATCGGATGTTCTTCGCTAAAGAAATATATCATCTTTTCTCAATGCGAATATTTGATTGTTAAGTACAACAATGGCATTGAACTATGAAACATTAATACATGCGGCTAGTAAACCACCAGAACAGCGAACAGCTACAGAGATTAATGATTTTATATTTCCATGGCTGAAGCAATCATTGAAAAAGAAACAGGGCATATTTCAAAAGATTTCTGACGGTAAATAAGTTCATTGACGTTTCTCTGACATGTGAATGTTCGATCCATTTTTAGATGTCATTCATGATATCTGCAAAACGATCATGCTGGAGAGACGGCCAGCTTGGGATGTCGTTATCCATCAAGGTGACCCTGGAGATACGTGAGTTATCTTTCTTAATCTCGTTGTGATTTTCACGTGTTTTTTCATCATAGATTTTATATTATTTTACAAGGTTCGGTGAATATCTATCGATTCGATGAGGATGGACCAAAGCCCGAACCACTCGAATTTGATACTGTGACAGAATTTGCTAAGCTTGACAACGATTCTGACAAACGTGACGAACTCATTGCTGATGCATTTGGAAATTATGTTGTGACTCTAGGTAAGATCAATCTGTTTCAGATAATCTCTGAGTCGATGGAACTCTACAATGCAATAAAATAATATTCATTCAGAGGGAAATGGTCTTGCCTATAAGCAACGTAAGAATGCTACAATATGCTTATTGATTATCTTGAATTAATTAGTTGATTAACTATCAAATGTATACATATGAAAAGGGATTTTGTAGGTGGTGGTTTTGATTTTGGTGAACGAGCATTGATTACGAATGAACCACGAAGTGCTACAGTAATGACAATTACTCCAACTGATCTACTAGTTGTTGATCGCGAAGTTTTCAGTCGGTATGTCAGCCGAAGCATGGTATTCCCAGAATGTTGTTTGTATATTGTTTCTATAAAGAACGTTGAAAGCGGCGCATGAAAGGGAATTGCAAGAGAAAACCGAATTCATCAATCGGTGTCCGTTGTTTTCATCCTGGTCACCAAGACTAAAACGTCTTGTTAGTCTTAATTTGGAACGTGGTCGATTCTCTTATGATAGTATCTTATACAAACAAGGCTCACGAGCTGATGCTGTATATTTTATATGGAGGTAGTAATGCAAACGAACTTTCCGTCGAAATCGATTCTTTAAAATTCAACTTTTTAGCGGTGAAATTAAATTAAGTATGGATCCTCTGTTACACTGGTTACAATATCCTTACCTTCTTCCACAATCAAATCCATTGAAACAGTAAAACTATTTTGTTCATCACCCGTTAGTAAAATTCGTTTTCATAGACGTGCCTTAGAATCCTTTCTGCCTATATTTCAACCATCTCACCCTTCGAACGTTCATATACCCTCGAATGCAGACACTAATGATCCTCGACAGAGTTTCGCTATCAAACGACGTCACATGACTTTCGCTCAAGCTGAACATGAACGCGCTGAACGAATTCTACAGTTAGCATTATTGAATGCTGGTGATGTTATCGGCCTTGAATGTTATGTGTGTGATCTAGCAACACATATCAATTCAGCACGATGTACGGCACCGTGCGATTTATTTTACATCTTGAAACATAACTTTACTCGTTTACAAAAACGGCACGGCACTCAAGGTTTGGGTGAACGTTTACGTGAAATGGTTCTTCTTTCTTTGCAAGCATATCCATCGCGTATCATGTATATGCCATTATTTACTGCATTAATGAAAAAGAAGTTAACACCACGGATGAATGATGATCAATTACAACAGCAACAGCAGCAGTATCAAAATAGACAAACATGGCTTGTACAGATGCACAACTCATCTCAACGAGTTCGTTCTCTTCGAAGCTTTTTCACAAATTTCCATTACATCAAATTTTCTAGCGAGTACATCGATCAGACACCACAACAACGCCCTCTCATATAGTTACTAAAGAACGTTCACTGACTACAGTAACACACAGTGTGCCCACAATACGGGCAACTCAAAATGCATCTTTTGCAAATCCTGCTACAATACAATATGTCACCAATGATAATATACGCGTCAGTAAAATTGAAGATCGTCTCAAACAATGGCATGCACAAATGGGTGGAGATTCGAAAACACATTTTGTACCGCTAACACGTTTTGTATGTTTATTCGATCCTACTTGCGCCACAATTCTTCTTTTCTTTTCTCAAAGAGCATTGCCGATTTTTCAGCGCACAATCTCCTACGATCCACATCGTTTGAATTTGTTGAACCTCAGTTAAATGGCACTTCTCTTTCAACAAGGTGAGACTTCATTTTCTTCATCCAGTTTTCATCCATTTTAACAGATATATATTAAAAACTAGCGAGACTTTTGTTTTCAATAACTATTAGTAGATAATTTCCACCAAACGTTGCTTTGTAAGTATGTTCATTAAACATGTATGTAGTCGTAACGGCTTTCCACTATGCACAGACTTACCTTTCACGAATGTTATTTATATCGTCGGCTTTACTTCTTGTTAAAAGTCACATTTTGTTGACTAGTGCAATAAACCCAACATCTGTTGTTCTTTAGTTTTCACTCAAACAATGTTCATCAAAGTGTAAAAGAAACAATAATTCCCTTCGAGCCTTTTGTTAAATCAATAGGAAATTCCAAACGACCATCACTTGCTTGTTCCAGAGTATGTTTGACATCGATCAACGGGACATGTTCTATCGCAAATATTTTCCTTTTCAGATTACTCATGCTTCTTCTTCTTCTTTTTCGTCATTAAATACAAGTCTACCTTCAGTACACACTTATTCTAGCCAAGAGCAATATGAAGATCAACGGCTTTCTTTCAATAAGAAGTGGAAAGATTTTCTTAAACGTTCTACTCCAACCGTTTACTGAAGTGTACATAATTTTGCTTTTGTATATTGTTTTTTTTTAACAAAAAGGAACGACTCTTATGGAAATTACATTGATTAAATATGGAGCAGGATGTAGGAAAAGAAAACTAAAATATCATTTATAGATCTATGCACAGAGACTAAAAATTTTCTCGTGTTTTTCTTTTTTTCTTGATGTTCTCTCAGTTGTTATTATGCTGCTCCGAAGCGTCATTAGAGATGAAAAAGAAATATTGCTTTAAAGAGAACGACAGAACAGAAAGCAAGTAGTTATAGAAATATATGCAACATAGCATTTTTCTTTCCTTCTCTTCTCCTCACTGTTTTATTCCTTTTTTTTCTGTTTTATACAATGACATACGCAGAGCTTTTCACGTTCGATATCGAACGGCAAAAGGAAAAGAGCTAAACCTTCCGTTCCGGTTGATGGCCATTGGATCATCAAACGCACATGACATGCATATGCCCGCAATCAAAGTCAGAGTAAGCACGATGAAAACGCGAATTCAAAGGCTTTCTTTTTCAACCACTATTTCGTGATAGGTTGCACCATTTCGATGGTTAGCAGTTTTAGTCGGTTGTGTCATTTTCCTCGTTTTGATACTTCTCCGAAATCCATATAAACCCATTGACAGCGATGTAACGACTGAAATAGCCGAACGGCTGAATGAAGACGCATCGGTAATTGCAAGGTGTTGATGAATCTTTTGTACGTTAATTATTATTATAGAAATTGCGCTGGTCATTATCACGCGCTCAACAATGGTATTCTTCTCAACCGTGGTATCTCGGTGCTAATTATTTGCCTTCAACAGCCGTCAACGTCTTGGAGATGTGGCAAGATGACACGTTCGATGAAGAAACCATCAAACGCGAACTTGATTGGGCAAGTAAACGTTTACAAATGAATATCATGCGCGTTTTTCTTCATATACTTCTTTGGATGAATAATCCAACGAAGTTCTTTCAGCATGTCGATACCTTTCTCTCTATTGCAAAGCAGAATAATATCAAAGTCATGCTCGTTCTTTTTGACGAGTGTTGGAATGAAGATCCAAAACTAGGTCAACAACTCAATCCCATTCCAGGTGTACATAATTCAAGATGGGTTCGATGTCCCGGCCAATCGATGGTGCTAAATAGAACAAGTTGGCCACTTATCGAGCAGTACGCTATTAAAATATCGTCTATCTCCTCTCAGTGTATCTTTGTTTAGATACACAACAGATGTAATTAATCACTATAAATCTGATAATCGCGTTGCTGTCTGGGATTTGTATAACGAACCTGAATGTAGCAAACAAATCAGAGTTGTCTTGCCGTTACTTCGTTACATATACAAGGCTGCTCGATCGGTAGCTGATGTCGAACAACCAATGACAATTGGCATTGCCAAATGGCCATTGACAACCCCTCTAGCAAAATTTGAATTAGCTGCATCAGATATAATATCTTTTCACTCATATGGTCCATTAGCAAATGTTATCGCAAATGTAAGCGATTTACGACAAGTTCAATTAGGTCGACCTATTCTCTGCACAGAGTGGTTGGCACGTACATTTGGATCAACACTGTTTACGCACATAGATTTTTTTCAAAGGGAAAACATAGGTGCAATACATTGGGGTCTCGTCGCAGGTCGCTCTCAAACATACTATCAATGGAAATCACCCGAAGGAGCGCCGATGCCGAAAATGTGGTTTCATGATGTACTCTATTCGAATGGCACAGCGTTTAGTGCGCTAGAAGAAAAACTCTATTCAGAAATCAAACATGAAAAAGTTTCTAAATAAATTATTACCGACTGTTGCTCTTTCAACAATATGAATCATTCTTGTTGAAAACACTTAGTGGGAAGAAAGACTGACTTATGAGGAACAATAATGTTACCTCTTAAGCTGTATCATGATATAAATACAAAAGGATTACATCTCTTTGCAACACATTTTCACAACTTGAGATGAGAGCGTCTGAGAAAATCTAGCCACAATAAGAAATTCTTGTGAAAACATCAAAGAACCTTCAACATTGTGAAATACATCGATTAAATAACGCTTTCTCATTCGTGGCCTGGACAATGCGTATCAATTATACTCATCTATGTTGAGAGTATTTACTACTTCGGTTGCATATTAATATAAACTCTTGAAAAGTAGGATATTTCGGACTATTGTCGCCATCTATAGTGTTAAATGCAAGGCAACGTTTAACACAACATCATAGAATAGGCTTCTGACTTCTACATCGATTAAAACACTTGAATAAACAATATCAGAGTCATATTGTCGAACGCCATCTATTTCTTTTGCTCTCATTTCCTCCATTGATTGAATCGTCAATTTCAAATTTGTTGTGAATGGCTGCCATTTTGTTTATTTGTTTTATCTTTGTTTCTATCATCGCCATGATTGATTTTCTTGTTGTTCATTCAGTTCGCTTGATGAATACCTCTTGGAAAATCTTGCTTTTATCGAAGACAATTCAACGTACGGTCTTCTTTTCTTTTCAGATTGTTCATTCGCATGTCGAATGTCTAGTTCAGGGGGCAGCAACGCCAAAAAGCCACGCATCGACTCGAACAGTCTGCTTTCTAGTATGTTTCCAACGTTGTTAGGCTGACAAAGCGACCGTGATCTTCTTTTGTTTTAGCTGTACCATCTCGAATGTCACTTTCCAATGGACCTGGATCATCAGGTGCTCGTCCACTCGTCGCATTACTCGATGGTCGCGATTGTTCTATCGAAATGCCAATACTTAAAGACATGGCAACTGTAGCCTTCTGCGATGCACAATCAACATCTGAAATTCATGAGAAAGTTCTCAATGAAGCAACTGCGGCACTAGTTTGGCATGCAATAACCTTGAAAAAAGAAGATTTACTTAAATTTAAAGCATTAAAACTTATCGTACGGATCGGCTCTGCCTATGATAACGTTGATATAAAGGCGGCTGGTGAACTAGGTATTGCTGTATCAAATATTCCATCGTTGTGTGTGGAAGAAATGGCAGACACCACACTGAGTATGATCTTGAATTTATATCGACGTACAGCTTGGTTAGCTCAAGCAGTTAAAGAAGGTAAACGTGTTTCAACTCCAGAACAAATTCGCGAAGTTGCCACTGGTTGCGCACGTATACGAAATGAAACATTAGGCATCATTGGTCTTGGACAAGTTGGCATGGCTGTTGCTATGCGAGCCAAAGTATTCGGTTTTAATGTTATCTTTTTTGATCCTTATTTATCCGATGGTGTCGACAAAGTTTTAGGTAGGAACTAATAAAGAATTTCAGTTGGATCGTATTCTTGTTTGTGATCATAGGCATTACTCGAATATTTACACTACAAGATTTACTCTACCGATCAGATTGTGTCACACTGCATTGTTCACTCAATGAACACAATCATCATTTGATAAATGATTTTACGATAAAACAAATGAGACCTGGTGCATTCCTTGTTAACGTATCACGTGGTGGTCTCATCGATGAGACAGCTCTAGCCGCTGCATTGAAAGATAATCGCATTCGTGGTGCAGCATTAGACATATTAGAAAATGAACCGTACAACTTAGCTGCTGGTTAGTATACTGCATTTGCACACGGTATCTGATCACTTCTTCCGTTTGTAGGTCCATTGAAAGATGCTGTGAATCTAATATGTACACCACGAACATCGTGGTATAGTGAAGCGAGCTCGCAAGAGATACGAGAGAATGCTGCACATGAAATACGTCGTGGTTTAAGTAGTAAAATGCCTGGTTCACTTCGTTATTGTGTCAATCGAGATTATCTTAACGTGCCTCGTATGAAAACTATTCGAATAAAAAGTCTTTGATTTGCAAATATCTCTTCTAGGTTCTGCCTATGACAGTGCATTGAATGGAGCAGCATTTTCATCGTTATTTCCATTAGCAGCACCATTCCTTTCGTCACCGGGACTGTTAGGTGATCCATCACTAGTAGGTTCCATACCTCCACCAGTCCTATCGTCAGCACTTCAACAACAATCAGCAAGTTCATCGACAGGCAATGTCACATCAAGTAGTAGTACACCATCGTTACTTTCAGCTGCTGGAAGTAATTCGCCAGTTGTTGTACCTGTTAATATTGGTGAGTCGGCTTTACAAGCAGCGGCAAAAGTCGCAGCTGCTTCACTCGGAAGTAACAATGGTGGAGAATCAACTGGTGGAGATTCAATGCACTAATCTACTATTCTTTTTTTTCTCTTTTTCTTGTGTTGTACATTTATTTCATCCTACTAATGTAGTTTGCTTCTGTATGGTTGTCTGTAGTGCTCTTTCTCATTCCATACTGGTCTATGTGTATCTGTACGGGTGTGTGTGTGTGTATGCGCGCAATAGATATTTGTGATGTGTGTCTTTGTCTAGTTGATTGATTCAAAAGATTTGTTTGTTTCGACTTGAAAAGTAATTGTCTGTGTTGTTCTCTAACTTGGATCAATAGTTCTATTCTTGTTTCCTAACATATTCACACACGCACGCACGCACTCACACATAATAAAATATATGTATTCACCAAACATTTTTGGAGAGAAAACAAAAAAAAAACAATAATAATATCAATAATATATGTCTAAAACATGTTCTGTTTTTTTTTCTTTTTTCTTATATGATATTTAGTTCCAAACTTTTGTCTAATTGAATTCTTGTTACATGTTAGTTTTGTAGAAAAAGAAAAGTTTCTCTCTTTACTAAAACCATGTTCAATGTGGCATTGGATGATGTTCGTGTGCTGGAACATGCAACTGTCAAAGTAAAGACATTCGAATTTTTCTAAAAAAAAAATATTTGTCCATTTCATTTTTCTTAGGTACCGTACGAAACATTGAATAAACGATATCGCCACGCACAGAAACAGATTGATCGTGATTCGGCTCAATTGCTTGCGTGTGTTGGCGAACTCGATCGATCGACACAGTCAGCGACAACACTCGAGACACTTAAACGAGTACTTGAACGTGCAATAACATTGAAACGAAAAGTATTTCGAAAGATTTCTAAATTTCTCTTTCAAACTTGCATGTTTTCAATAGGCTCGCGAATTACGCGATGATGAAATCGAATGTCTACAAGCGGTTAAACGACGTGTGGATCATCTGAAAGAATATGATAAAAGTTCGTTATCGAAAATGGAGATTTGGCGACGACAACGCTACGAACGTATACTCGTCGACTTTCTCTTCCGAACACGATGCTTCGAAACCGCTCAAGCTCTAGCCAAAGCAACAGGCATTGAGGTTTGTCTTCCGATAATACGATCGATCGAGTCAATAAATTAGCATACATGTTTCAACGCATTCAAATTCTCGAACTGATCATCTTTCATACGACGGAAATTTGAGATACATGTCAGCTCTTAATTCAGTTAAAGATCAAATGTCTGTCAACAAGGAGCCTTCCGACATCATTAATTCGAGTAGATAAGATTGTTGATAAGTATTTCTTGGAGTAAACAACGTATTGACAGAATATGTTAACACTTTGAGCTGACAAAGTAGACATTGCTTTCTAATAAACTCTGTCGTTGTCAGAATTGAGCTAATTGATTTGTAATACCATGTAAATTTTAGCAATTGGTCAATTCAGAAATCTATTTGGCTGGTCGGGAAATCGAGGACTCATTGATGCGCCGTGATGTTTCCAAATGTTTGGCTTGGTTCAATGAAAATAAAACGAAACTAAAGAAAAATGGCGTATGCAATACTTGTCAGATGTGCAAATGTTTCTCATTGCTCTCTTTCCATCTCTAGAGTACTCTTGATTTTTGTATTCATTTACAAGAATTTATTGAACTAGTCCGGAAAAATCAATCTTCCGAAGCCATAGCACATGCACGAAAGCATTTGAACGGTCCTGTACCAGAACAACATCTAAGCGAATTCCAATCAGCTATGGGTCTGCTAGTTTTATCACAGAGATCGAGACAGGAACTGAATAATGAATATCAAGTAAATTGAAAGCAAAACATTCTTTCGTTCTTTTTTTTAAACGTTCGATTCATCTTCAGACATTACTCGATGAGAATCGTTGGAATAAATTAATTGATCAATTTCGTCTCGATATGTTTAAATTAAATCAAATGGGCCAACAAAGTAAATTCACAGCTGTTTTACAAAGTGGTCTATCCGCTCTGAAGACACCGTAAGCATTTCTTTGAAAGCATTTCTCCGCAAAAATTAATCCTTATGTTTAGAACATGTTTTGATAAAGTATCGTCCGTAAAAAATCCTAATTGTCCTGTATGTAATGTTCATTTAAAAACAATTGCTAAAGTCTTACCGTACGCACATTGTTCCGTATCGAAACTCATCTGTGCACAATCACGTGAACCGATAAACGAAAGTAATCCACCACTAATGTTACCAAATGGTTACGTTTATGGCTCGAGAGTAGGAAAATTCTTTTCTTTTTCTTTCGTCTGAACTATCTGTATGTGCTCGTAGACTCTTCAAGCTATGGCTGCAGTCAACAATGGCAAGGTGACTTGTCCACGCACGAAAGAAACTTACGATTTATCGCAAGCCGAAAAAGTGTATATCATGTAGAAAGATAATCCTTCGAAAAACAAAAGACAATAAATTGATGTTTTATTTAACTTTTATTCATGCAGAAAGATATACATAAATGTAAATATATGATTATGAAACTTCTTTAGATAAACAAAAAGGAGAAAGAACATGATTGTCAATGAAGACAAGCCATCTACGGACACGTCGATAGCAGGAAGAAATCGACGTCACATTCAAGCACCGTCAGCAAAAGGTGCGATAGCGTTGTTCAAAAATTGACTGAAAAGAAAAGCGATCGTTCTTTGAATTTCTTCCTATTCATATTTAAAAAGCGAGAGGTGCATTTTTTGAACGAGTCTTAAACCGGCCGGATATTGGGTGAGTGAGGAATGACTGGCATGTCATTTTTTTCATTCTTTCACTAATCAAAAAAAGCAACTTCATAATCAATTTCGAAGAATAACGTAATGCCAGACAACATTCGCAAGGATTTTTCTCTTTCCAGGATACGTATCATGAGAGAATAGTGCAAGCAATCAATGGTAATAAATGAATGTCACTAAACATCGGTCATGGCTAGCCGATTAAAGAAGAAAAAAAAAAAAAGGACAAGCTAGCTATCTATTTATCCCTTAGTATATCACATTGGATACTTTCCTTCATGCTTAAAATGCTTTTGTTTTGCTAATTGCTTCGATAATATAAAATCATTCAATCCTATGGAGAAAATTCTCTTTTTATTTGCTTGTTGTTTTTACATGTGGGATGCAATTACGGACGAATCAAGTGAAAGATTTGCTTTGTTTATATCTTCATAGTTTAAGCAACGTGGTTATACAGATTCAGCATTAGATCGTCGTACGGCAACAACAACAGGTCAAATGCTCTATCAAATTATTGATCCGAGACCGGCACAAATCGATTTCACGGATAATTTACCACCTACGCCGCCTGCACCTTCTGTCGTTGCTGCTAATCGGCGGCGAGAAGTATGTCAAATGTCTTTGCAATTCTTGGCTAGATCTGGCTGAAATCTGTTTTTCTCTTCTAATAGACTTATAATAATCGCTACTCGGAACATGATAATCGAAATATTATACAGAATTACGGCGAATATTTTGGTCGAGTAAATAATAGTTTGTCTTGTGTCAATAGAAGACTTGTCTTATATTGATTAAGGGTTTTGGTAAGCGTCTCACACCTCAATCAGCACGTCACCGCCAAGAATGGTCTCTTGCTCATGATCCTCTTCCACTGCATCCCGATCGAAGTGTAACTCAACGAGACTATCGTGGACTGCCCACACTTGAAAATCAACGGTTATCATCGACGTCTATGTTGACACACGCTCGTCAAAAGTCAAGTGGTAGTTGGATGAGAAGCTGCTATGATGACTATGGACGAGACATCGAACACATACCCAACGAATTGATTTATCGTGATGACTACAAACGCATGCCAATCCATCCATGGCACTATTGAATCGATTGACTTCTTTCTATTGTACTTGCAGTCCTATATAATTTACTAATAAACACATTCGTCCTTTTAAGAAATAAAATGAATCTAATTTGACTTCATAGACAGCTTCCGCATGTGCCCAGAGAAAAGAAACGATCATCGATGAGTACATGCTTGCTTCCTAATTGCTTGACGAAATGCCTAACATAGATCGACAAGAATATTTTATTGACAGTCGGAAAAGCTGTTTTGGCAAACAAAAAATGGATGATTTAACTAGGCCGATCTATTTACTAGAAAAAAATTGATAATTCCATTCGGTTATTAGTCTTGCGTATGTCGTAGCAGAACTAGATTTGTGCAGCAATTTGACTTTGCCTCCATGCACATGTGTTTTACGATATATATCTATATTCACTTAGAAACGCAATGATTGCTGAAAAGATGTAGGATGACGTTTGAGGCGACACATAAAAAACGGATGTCAATGCATTAATGAAGTTCAACATTGGAAAACGAGTCCAGTAATAGAAAGAGAGAGAGATAGAAAGGAGAAAATCGTTTTCGAGAGCATAAATTAGGGAAAAGAGAATTTTCTGTTTCCCTTTGTCTCTCTAACGGAGTCTTCGGCGATGCGCTTCATCGCCAACAGCATCAATATCTTTAGTCGTTTCCGACAATGTTGTCGTCAGATGAGAGAAAGGGAGACATAGAGAGAGAGAGAGAGCGAAGGAGAGAATATTAGGACAATGAGTTTTCTGCGCCTGTCTCTCCCTTTCATTCGATGCTATCTTTGCTTTCTATGATATCTCTTTAGAGGAGAAAACAGAAAGTGGAAACGATCCTATAGGCACAATGGTTAGAGATGCAAAAGTCGAGCATATGCTAAAAACGTCCGTTATTGACTTAGTCAAACTAGAAAGATGAATAGTAATCGTTGTCATGTATAAAACCTTGATCAACAGCGCATGGGAACTCCAGTAACCATTCAAATAGCTGCTGCTTCCAATTACAATGAACAGTAAGATTTTAAAATGTTTATTTGTTTCGATGAACATAAACGTGATCAAAATGGCCTTTTAACATTGATGAGAGTCGGAATAGTTAATTGCGCATAAAAATACGTGTAAGAATTCATTCATAGATGTTTACATGAAACTAGTCGACAATTGGAGTAAAAAGTCAATGAGAGTTCGTTGTAGACAACTCAATTCTTTCGCTCGCATGCGAACAGTTTTTAGAAAATGAACGTCACGTCAACTGGAAGTCACCAGGATGATGTCATCTGTCTTAAATTGTTCTTGTCAGAGAGATGCATCTTGTAAATGAAATGATATTTCATTTTCTGATTAAACTTTTTCCTTCTTGACTAAAAAAGAAATCCGTCACCATCCCTGTAGAACACATTCTATTTCACATAAAAGATCTCAACTTTGACTAAATGATGCACACGTATATGATCAGGAGAATGCCAAATGTATTCTGTCAAAATTCTGTGTGAGTATTTTTTTTTAATGTTTCATTGAAATGGACGTTTCTCTTCATTTTGTTTCCTACACACCAAAAACCTTTTTAAATACTTGAATAGATTGACAAGCAACCTTGAAAATGTCATTATATTAATAAAATGACGATGAATTAATTTCCTTTGCGATTTTGACTAAGAAATTATATTTGATTATTATTTCTAGCGATACGCAATCATCATTACGTCGACAAGCAAATGAACGTCGTGATCATGACAATGCTTTATTGATCAATTACGATGGCACCATCGGTTTCCAGCAGTCGAAGTTTGGCGGGAGTCAATTATTGTAAGTTTTACATTCAATTGAAAAAAAAATGCACATAGCTTCTAATTTTTCGATTTCCATACGATCGTATTCTTGGTTAATTATTTAAACGAGCCTATATTTGTTAAGGTTATTTAATTGTTTGCAAAAGAAATCATTGAATTACACACTTAGAAAATCAATCCCATCGTTCTTTTTTTCTGCTTCTGCTTCTTCTTTTTTTCTTCTTCTTCTTCTATTGTCTTTTCTATTCATGAATTTATCTTGAATGCAACCAATATATTCTCAGTGTCAATATTGTGTTGTTTGTAACAAGGCGCAGAACAACACGGAAGAGGAAAAAACAGGAAGAGAAGAGGAGTCAGACCCGAACTAACAGTCTTTTTCTTAGTTGACTCACAGCACTAGCTCAATAGAACTATGTGTAATGTTAATACCCCCCAGCGTCAGTTCGTCGTTGTGCTCAATGAAATTTTCGACACGACACATGCATACATTTCTCGCTCGCTCTGACTAAATGGAAAGGGAGCTTTATGCAATATAGAAACTAAAGAATGCAAGAGAGAATTAGAAATGAAGGAGAAGAAGAAGAACAAGAACAAGAAAAGAATGAGTATATATATAAACGCGTGTTCATCATCAACTCCAGCCACGTCTTTGCAGTCTTTCTCCTTCGTCTTCTTGACTATGTCGTGAAGAAAAGCGAGGTCGTTACAACTAGCATCAGAATAAAAAATGAAGAATCTTAGTAACAATTGCCATTTTGGAATGCAAACACAAGAGATAATGTAGTGCAGGTTTTGCTCTTCATGACTCACAATGAAATTTCCGTGTCGCGAGTAACAAATTGTAATTAGTCTAGTTAACGTGTCGATGAGTATTTGAAAGCGATCGTGCTGGTTATTTTTCACTAAACGAGTTCACAACTAACAACTCCTCAAGATGACGATGGCAACAATTTGGCAGCCTGTCGCACTGACAGATCATCCTATGTAAGTACAACTATTAGTTCGGAAGATTTCAACAAGTTCTGTATCTCATTGAAGAAATGTATTGACCAAAAACGATTACGTATATCTTTTATATCAACTCGCTCATGATTTATCTTTCGCCAAGCCATTCATCCATGTGTTGAATGGATTTCTGCTTTACTTTCTCTCCTTTGTTTCGCTGATAATGTCTAGTTTCTGGCGTTCGGCAGACCTATTTACATCTCGATGGTTTTATAATATGAGACCAACAAAAAAAATCCCATAATGATATATACATATATACATATAGATATGTGTATACAAAAACCCCTGTAACATATTCTTATTTTTCCGAGTTACTCGTCGAGTAGCCATTTGAGTAGTAGAGCTTTGGATTGATTACTGCAGGTTTTTCCGAACTCAGAGAAAGAGAAACAATGGCTATGACAACTGCTATTTCGGCTTGGCAGGCACCAGCGTCTACTCTGAATACTCATACTGATGGAACGTAAGTCATTTGAAGAAAAGAAGCTTGCGTTTGGATTCAGTCGTGCGCTTTCACATTCTGATTCATTTTTTTCATGCCAGTATATATACATATATATGTATATCGATCAAAGCAAATAACACAGACAGTCAACTGCAGTATTTATGGTTGAGAAGAAGAAAAACAGTAGAATAGATACATACATATATATATATATATCAGTTGTTTGCGATGGAAGATAAATATGTACGTAGATGACAACATGATAAATCATTTTTAGTCGAAATCTCGTTCTCAAGGACGATGAATTTCAAATTAGAGATTTCTTTTGTCTCGTTCTTCGATTTAATCAATCATTGTATTAGTTTGATTAATAGATAAAGTTCTGACTTTTGTCTGAGGAAATCAAAGGAACATTAGAGTAAGAACATTTCGCGTATCTATTCATTGAAGTTAAACATATTTTTGACTTATTACTTTTTGTCATAATAGTATAAGTCAAGCAATAATATTATTCGATCGAGAATATGAAAAGAAGAAAAAGAAGAAGAAAATAAATGCGAATAGACATGTTGTAAGATGTCAAGCGCGAATGCGAAGGTCATAAATGATGACAGAAAAATGAGGTTGATGATGGACAAACTGTTCTGGCAATATCTTAGGTGATGGTGTTTGGCTTCTGTTCCTTTTCGATATTGACGTCACCGGTCGATCCAGGCTACGAAAGTAAAGCTTACGAGACTAGTAGTATCATCTCATCTCATCTTACATATCGGCTGCGATTTCTAACAGCTCCGTTATTTCTTTCTCTTGTTCTATTTTTTCATCATTTCTGCTTCTCTATTCTTATTGATGTTTGTTGTTGTTGTTGTTGTTACTCTTGTATGCATGAATGTGGTACCATTAGTAAACGTCATCTTTATATACTCTTTAGGTTTTTTCTTGTTTTCTTGCTAGCTATATTTTTCTTCCGGTGACTATCGATATCATCTATCTTCTCCTTCTTATTCTTATTCTTCTTCTCGTCTCATGAGACAACTATCATTAAGGTACAACCATTGATATTGTACAGATTTAAATAAATCTCATTAATAATGATTCTTACTGATCGTTCTCTGTAAGTCAATTTAGTCATATGTTTGTTTATTTTGCCTATTATCTTCTTCTTCTTCTACTACTTCTTGTGTAAAGTGGTCATGAAACAACACGCCGTCGAGGAGTTGATTTTCCTAGTGATCAATCATCCGTGCCAGGACGATCATCGGGTCGGCATATGTCTGTTATTCCTCATGGAGTAATTCATGATCCATTGAGCAGCGCCACAGGATCTCTGTCATACGATGGTGATTATAATCGATCATCTGTTGTCAGTTGTCTCGTGCCAGCTAGCATAAGTATTGCTACCAGGTGAGATAAAAGAGTGTTTTCCCGATGATGTATGTGCATGTCATCCATTCCCATTGAATTGAAATCAATCATTAGCTATTCATCGAGTTTTTTCTAATTATGTTTCAATTTGTTCTGAATAGATAATTGAAATGACTAGATGTATGTAGGGAAATCTTTTTTGATTTAGTTAGAGAAAGACTCTCCGAAGACTCGTCTTCGAAATAAACAGCAAATGGTGATATTCGGAAGTAGACAGTTTTCATTCGAAACATTTCTTTGTAATCGAGTACTTTGATCTATATTGATGATCAAACAGATTGTTTGTTTAATAAATAAGAACATAGTTTACCGTAGCAATTACGGTATTGTTCGATCGTATGACGAAATACATCTATGTAAACTAATCGTAAAAGTACTTACAACAACTTTGTAGTCGATCCGAAGAGAGCGAAAGGCAACGAGGCTGCCTTTTTCTTTTTCTCTATGCAAAGGAAAACCCTACATTTGTATGTCCTTGTTTAACGAACGTTGTTGTTATCATTTATCCAGTGTTAGTCTTATCAGACGAAGTTCTAGATGCGGAAATAATTGGACTGAAGCATATAATATTAGATGCAAGGATGTATTGAAAGAGGAAATCTAAAATTCGCTTGTAATTTAGTTATCGTTAGTCGAACTTTCCGTATGATTGACAGAACAAACCCCGCATTTGTCATCCGGCAAGATGTGAAATTTCTACTTTGATTAGTCTTTAGCTTTCATAATGAATTAACATGTGTCTATCCGCGTGCATGTGTATATATATATAATAACAGTGTAGTAAAAGAAGACGAGGAGCAAAAAGAAAGAAGATGTTGATAGTTGTTTATCACGATTTCCTTTGCTTGTCTTCTCGCATCTATGCATGCTACAACGAAGACAATCGTACCGCAACCGGTGTTCTTGCTGTTTCAAGCTGATAAATCATTACATATGTATCTATTGTTACTCTTCTGAATTCCTTTCTCCCGATGCGAATTACTTCATAGGACAGCACTTCATGGTGTGAGTAATTTCCTTCTAATTAGCTTAATAGTCACAGACGTTTGTGATGTTGTCAATTCTTTTTTAATGGAACTTTTTTAGGGCATTTTCACGACAACTTGATGAGGAATTAACACAAGAAGAACAACTACAAGCATCGAAACATCCTGATTACGAGTCAACTGAACGTGTTGTTATTAATGTCTCTGGATTGAAATTCGAAACGCAACTACAAACATTGAATAATTTTCCTCGGACACTTCTCGGTAATCCATCGCGACGTGTACGGTTCTTTGATCCACTACGAAATGAATACTTTTTCGATCGGAACCGGCCTAGTTTCGATGCGATTCTTTACTATTACCAATCGAATGGTCGACTGAGACGACCTAATCATGTTCCAATTGGTAAAGCGAGAAACTAGAGAAGCACGTGAACGAACGCTTTGCTTTTCATTTTAGATGTCTTTACCGAAGAAATCAAATTCTTTGAACTAGGTGAAGATGCTTTCAATAAATTTCGTGAAGATGAAGGTTTTATCAAAGAAGAAGAACGAATTTTGCCTAAAAAGGACATGCAACGAAAAATTTGGCTTCTATTCGAGTATCCCGAAACATCACAATGGGCACGTGTTATTGCTATCATATCTGTTACTGTTATTCTCATGTCAATTGTCATATTTTGTCTAGGTATGAGAGTTGTGAGGATCGAATGAAAGATCCGATGAGACATATTTTCCTTTGATTTAGAAACACTGCCGAAGTTCAAACGTTATCGTGTTCGACCTGCCGATAATGCAACGTACGATTCGTCCCGTCTGACAATCGAAGAGGACGATATTCCCGAATTAACTGAACCATTTTTTATTATTGAAACTTGCTGTATCATTTGGTTCTCATTCGAATTAATCGTTCGTCTTTTGTCATCTCCGCTGAAACTTGTCTTTCTAAAGTCGATGATGAATATTATCGACATTGTTGCGATCGTCCCGTACTTCATCACATTGTTCACGATTTTGGCTGAAGAGAAAACGAAATCGAATCAAGCGATGTCATTAGCTATTCTGCGGGTTATTCGTCTCGTTCGAGTTTTTCGTATATTCAAACTATCAAGACATTCGAAAGGTCTACAGATTCTGGGCCAAACACTTCGTGCGAGTATGCAAGAGTTAGCGCTATTGATATTTTTCTTATTCATCGGTGTGATCTTATTCTCTTCGGCGGTCTACTTTGCCGAACAAGGTGAACCAGAGTCATTTTTCAAATCGATACCAGACGCATTCTGGTGGGCAATGATAACTATGACTACAGTACGTTTTGTCTTTAATTCATGCACGACTATTTTTTGAATATTTTCCTAGGTCGGCTATGGAGATATGCGTCCAGTAGGTATATTCGGTAAAATTGTTGGATCAATGTGTGCTATCGCTGGTGTGTTAACAATTGCTCTGCCAGTTCCCGTTATTGTCTCTAATTTCAATTATTTCTATCATCGCGATATCGATTCCGAAGAACAGAAAGACATTAAATACACAACTAATGTTAGTGGTTCAAGTCCAACAGGTGTTGATATGATTAATGATCCATTTACCCACACCATGTCAACAAGTGTTGGTGGTCAAAAGAAAAAATCGATCTCGTCATCAGATACTTGCCATCATTTAGATGAATCTGATGCATTTCTTCATTCATATTCAGCCGCCGACGAACAGACATTTCGTTCATGTACAGCAAATCACAAAAATAGTAGAACATCGCCAACACAACAATTAATTCAACGGAAAATTTCCTCACCCAATGCCAATTTGAATAGTTTCAATAATTACACCTCATCATCATCGAATGAACCATTAAATGTCGAAACAGATGTGTAATGTTGTTGTTATCCGTCCACCCGGTCGCCTCTATGTCTAGTCATATTCCCTTCAATTAAGTTCTCTCATGTCATCAACTATTCGATACACCATTGATTCGTTCGATTATATAATATGTTCAGATAGTTTTTGTTCGTTCGAATATTGTTTCAGAATGAGGGTGTAAAAAAACCGGCGTACACATACGTTTCGATATTATTATCTCCTTTATTTTCAAAACAAACGAAAATATCTTATCAAGGAAAGAGACCATACAGAAGAGTTAACCCTGTGTTTTTCTTTTGTAATCTGTTTTGTTTTCTTTTTTTTTCTTTCGTGTACTAAAGCAAATCAAATCAATTCTCCGCTCTCTCTCCCTCTCCCTCGACGCTCATGTGTAGTTACTGATGCCATTACTACAATGACTGAACGATAAAACTAATCCCACTTGGAAACAATCTACAAAAGAAAGGAAAGGACATCCTGACACATGTCGTCATGCCTTCCAAATGTACTAGTCTATTTATAGATCGTATTATCGCTTTGAAAGGTGACGTTTTTTCCAAGCGGAATTCTTTGATAATGGGATAAGATTGTGTAAATATCGCTCTCCGATTGTCTTCATTGTAGGTTTATTAGTTGAAAGTCAATTGGACTCTATCTTTGTCAACAAAACGACAGTATCTATGCTATTGATCTCCATGTGAATTGTGCAACGTAGCAGATGACTATTTTCCAGGTCTAATCAACTTTCTCTTTTGTTTGTGTCAAGGACTCAGTTTTGTCAACAGAATTTTTTCGTTAAAACTTCAACACTTCGTACGCAATACTATCGACGCATTCTTTGTTCTGGTTGTATTGAAGTCAATCCGATGATAAATGAGGTTTTCTACGAGTCATTAATTATTCCGACAGATGAAGAGTAGTTTTCTGTATAAGATCATGTAGTAGTGTAAATTTATTATATACTCATGTAAAACGTCATAATGCCATTGTTTACAGCTGTTCTGTTCTTATCGAGTGATCGATTTATCTTGTTAGATGATTAAAACGTACGTCCTTCATCATTCGACGATCTGATTTATTTACAAAATCTGGTCATGTCATACGTCATCATCGTATTGTTCACATTCTGCTTCATGTGTGAATTTTTCTAATCGTTTCGCGCCGATTTCGTCGAGAACTTCTCTGGGAAATTCCGCTTGATACTTTGCAACGCATCTCAAGCAAAATCTTCGTGTATAGAATACACTACAATCGGAATGCACACAAATTGGACATGAACAAACAGAGCACAAACCACCGAGAATCACCGAAGATAATTTTGATTGATCTTCTTTGTCCTTTTCTTTCATGGCAACAAATGGATCGCGAAGTAGATAGACTTTTTCGAGAAGATTTATTGTCAACGAAGAATCTTTTTTGCTCCGGGATGATTGTGTCGTCGGAAGATTGGAATCATCAATATATTGCGAATCGTATCGATCATAAGCAGCATAGAATGGACAAAGCGAACATTGAAATACTTTTGGTTCGATTGCTTCTTCTTCAGCCATCTGAAACTGATGATGACAAAGTCTGTCGAAGAAGAATCCCAAAGTTTAGTGTACACAGAAAAGCAAAAGATTTTTATTAGAAAAAAAATAAATGTTAGATACTCATTCGCTCACGGTTGTCAAATAAATTACACAACAAACTAAGACAGAAAATAAAATATCACAAAATAAACATTGTCATCAGTTCAGTCATTTCTTCTAGGTATCTTTGCGACGTTTGAATTGAGCTAGAAGATCCTGGAAGGAAAAATGCTTCGACATATTATGTTAACAAAGCGAACTGATCGATTACTTTGGAAATTTTCGTTCCCAGAACAAGTTTCATCTTGTTTGTCTGATCCTCATCATCTTGCTCACTTTTCTTTAACGTTTCATTCTGATTTGTGCTATCTGAATTGTAGACAACTCGGTTCTTTGACGATCCATTGCCTGCTCCGACTGTAGTTGTGGCTAATAATTGTTGATTTTGCGCTCGGGTTGACTTGCCAATGAATGGTAATCGGAGATTGATGTTTTGTCGAATCGCTTGCGATAATAAAACATTTTTAACATCAGATTTTATCGCCAGAACAAGATCGTGGTAACTGCATGTTAGATTTCGATATTCCAATGTGGGAAACGATATATGAGCATTTTCTAAATCGCCGATTTTCTTCTCTTTTGTACCCTGAACCAGAGTCAAGGAAATGAGAATGAAGCATCCAAAGGATAAACATACTCGTATTTTGTAAGAGACAATCAAAGATACTTCGGGAATTTTAATATATTGAAATGTTAAAGTATTCTTAGCACGTTTTTCCATCGCATCCAGATCGCGAATACTGAAGTAGAACAACGATCGGCCGGCCAACAGTTCTTCGTCACCCTTAAATAAAAGAAGACAATCTTAGTTTTTCCGCGTAATCTCATAGATAAAATTGTTAGAGTTAGAACTGTGAGTAACCCGACATATACGCACACACACGCACACACAAACACGCGCGTAAGAATTGTAAGAGAGAGTAGTATTAGATAAGAAAACTGAATGTGCGTGTAGTGAACCACGATTGAATTATAGATGAAAGAAAGTAATACCCATGGAATATCGTTCGAAAAACGACGACTGAATCGACGTAACATGCCCTATAGAAGTAAATTGTACCTAGGAATCTAATCTAACTCTTTCTTTCATTTGCGTGCCATGATACTCAATTTTTCATAGACAAAAAGAATTGATCGTCTTACTTCCGATGATCTGCTTCGATGTTTGAGGGAATTTGATGTGGCACGTTTCAAAGATGATTTATTTGCTCGTTGTTGAAGGTCAGAGCTTTGCTGAGTCTTGTTCGGAAAAAGAAATGCCATTAACATTTGCGAAAAGCGACGAGTCATTTGAATGACAAGCGGAGCTACATTTATCTCTATAAAAAAAGATCAACGCTCATACATCAAATTGTTTTAATCGCTTTTGATTACCAAGATGTTCTTTAACAGCTATTCCACCAACAGATTCTCCTTCTTTGCAGTAAACACGTATCATAGTCTGTTGTTGTTGACAATTTGCTGTTAGAATTGTTCGATAACGATCATCTCGTAGTAAATTATCGACTTGAGCTTGGCCAATATTGACCGAATGTTCATTCGTTCCATTTTCAAAATAACGTTTTGTATACCTGATATAAATCAAACGTTCGGATGAAGAACACATTTGAACGATTTCTTACAGAATGTTTCTCAACAGAAACTGAGCATTTGTAATTTGTCCGTCATCATGTTTAATAAACCAAGTTATCGACCCTCCGTAAATTTCGTATCGCCGTTCTAGCCGAGCAGTCTTATGAGCTGTAAATAAAGATAAATCAAATCAATTTAGTCAAAGATCAATTGAACTGACCTGTCGCCGCAATTCGTAATTTGACCAATCGTGCCAATTGCATATCTTTGTAAACAGCGCACATCATGCCCAAGTTTTCCGCTAATTCATTCAATTCAACTTTAACCGAAGTATACGATGTTTGTAATTGTTGATACTCTTGAACAGTAAATGAGAGTGCTCGAGTTCGACCATTACCATCTTCGTCGTCCGATGAATAGGAGTTTCTAATAGGAGAAAAAAATCTTCTACCGAAAAGAAGAAAAGGATAATGGTTATCATACACTACATTGTTGTTTGCTCGACTAAAATAATACATTTCTCGCTCGAGCCTTCGTAATTCAGCCAATGTTGATCTATTCAAGTTTGTTGTTACATGGAGAAAAAGAGATTCGCTTTCAAATCTATCTTTACCTGACACGTTCAAGTAGATGACGAATATTCTTCTGTAGCACAGGAAGATTATTTGCTAGTTGAATTTTCAAGCGAAGTTTGCGTAGTTTATTATTTATACCCTAGAATATCACTCGAATTCAGATATCGAATGTTTTAAATCATACTTCTCTCTTTGGATCAACATAAAGCAGTAAATTGTTGACAATATCCATAATTGTACGATATTGTAACTGAATCAAACAATATAAATGGGTCAACGTAAGGAAAAAGCTTACCGAATTCGTGGAAAGTTGAATATCATTATGAATGAATGTCAATGAATCAACAAGTAAACGATCATTTTCGCCTATAGGGTTTTGCTCATTAATGGATGGTTTTGTGAATGGCTAAAATGAAAAACAAATCGAAAAAAGTCTTTCTATTCATTTTCTACCTACCGGAATAACAATATTTGTGTCTGTTTCTTCTTCTTGCTGTGTTTGTTCAGTATAGAATACATAGGATAAAGTAGCATTTGATTTCGAGACAATACATTGCAACTGCTGATCACCACATCCATCGTTGGTGGCGATACTGCCTACAACACTTCGTGATGATTCACCTAACAGTGAATTTTCATCGCGAATATCACGTCGTGGAATCCAGATAATGTCATCGTCCGATGACAATAAGATCGACGATAGAGTATTCGTGTTTTCGGTTGAAGGATTTGATGATGACGAAGATGATGAAACTGTTGTGGCAAAATATTGCATGCCTTGGAGATCAACATGCCAAGATGTTTTGTCACATAATTGTTGATCACGCCAAACAGGTTTATGACGATACTGATCAACTAACGCATTAGTTGCGGATAAAATAACATAACCACGTGATTCAATGCCGCGCAAAGCAATCTGACTATCAGCTAATTCAATGTGCAAGGTATGTTCTTCAACATCATCTTTCGTGCATTGTCGAAGGCCCACCAAGGATACTGATTCATCAACCGTCTATAAATAAAATCGAATCAAGTGAAAAAGTAACAACTTCAATATTGGCAGAAGAAAAACATGATTATAATCGTGGCATTAGTATATGTTATTCGATCTGACTATATTGGTGTTAGTAGTGACTAGTTGCTAGTTAGTTGTCTGATGATCGATATAACCATGCGATTGAAGTTGTCTAGATCGAATGGAAGCTGGTGGTATCGTCTTGCTTAGAATTACTGTACGCTTTTAATTCCACGGAAGGGAAATAGAATACATAAGATGTAAGATAGATACAGAAGTTACTTGCCATTCTTCTGTCAAATTAATCCCACATATAATTATTGAAGTACCTAACTAATTGTTCGATCAAATACAAGATGTTATCAACTAAGAACGGGTAAGATTACAACTCTTAGTGCATATGTTATGTCTACAGATGGAACGAATAGTTCATCGACTTAATATGTACATACCGGATCAAGGTCGACACTTGCTTGATATTGACTTTCATTAATGAGTTGATCGAGGAATGAGGCTAACGTCGACGGTTGAGATGTCGTTCCGTTCGTTGTGGTAGTGATTGAAGTTGTTGCCGTAGTACCTGTTACTGCTGATCCTGAATCCGAGATAGTTTCATCTGTGCTCAGTGACGCCAGATTACTATTGTCATCTGCGGGTGAGTAATCAGATGGTGTAGCAAGAGTTTTTTCTTGTTGTAAGTGATCAAGTTCTTTGGCAAATGGATTCGAAAGATTCGATCGGAGGATATTGTTCCGACGATAACGTTCATAAATAAGAAAAAGTGTTCGCCGATTTGTTAAATTCCATACGGCTTTCAATTCATCGATCAACACACTATGTGTACTACTTTTACTGCTGGTCGATGGTGATCGTATATAAATGAGACTATCTAAACTTAGAAAAAACGTTCGTTCTTGTTGACATTCTTGCGGGTTATCATCTTGAGTCGTTGCTAGTTCATTCGTTTCTTTATCTTCATTCGCGTCTCGTAGTAGCCACATCTGTGCACGTTTCAAATTAACATTCATCATTTTCGGTTTCCATAAAATTTTCGCACGTCGCGCTAAGCCATCATGGTGATCGATTAAATTTAATTCTTGGTACGTTACAAAATTAAATAGTTGACAATCAACTTGGGCACCGGTTTGTCGAGCGAAGGATGTTAAATATTTGACACGGAATTGTGGAAGAATTAGTTGCAGTTCAACAGCTTCATAATGACGAGAAAGGAGAGGTTTCCGTGGAGGAACGACAGTTTCATCTGGTGGCAAAAATAACTTTCCACGACGAGTTGGTCGAGTAATGGACATCATGGTATTCTATTGAAGTCGAGAACAACGTTGGAAAATCAATAAGAACGAAGGACGGAAGGAGATTTACTTTGACACGCTCACAAAATCGAAGTGTACTGGCATATATTGTACAAGTAGGTGGTGTTTCACCTTTTGGAACATCTTTACATTCAAATTTAGCTGTTGCATTCAAATGATGCGAACGGTAAAGGGCATAGGAATCATGAGACTAGAAAGCAGAATTTATGTTAGTTCGAACTTAATACGTGTGTGATCAGAATTTTTAATCTGACAGCATAGATATATCAGACTGACTTATCAATATAAAAATGACATCATATCACACATCTCGGAAAGGAGGATTCGAACATGAGTAGTTCGAATAGATGTCTCCTAGGACCAATCGATTAAATTTACTTTTTTCTTCTTCCACGAATTCACTGCATCTCGTGTGTACAATCGAACAGCGTGATGATCATTGGGGTTACCGGCGCATAACCAACCGAGCGAAATTCTATACGAAAAGAAAAATGACGAAGTCATTTTCGAAAGAAAAATATCAAATCCAAACCTTGTATCGACATTGGGTAGATAGAGGAGACAACAGTCATCATATTTCGAACTGGTTCGTAATTTAATCGAAAGACTTGATGCTTGAAAAGTGAACTTTCCATTTGTCCAGTCGACATATGCTTGATCCCAGACCCATTCCATCTCTTCTGTGTCGTTATAAGGGCTCGAAGCAACATGATACAGCCAAGACATTTTGTTTGCTGCAAAGGACCATCGTCCATGAAGGTAAAGACGAATTTTATCCCACCAAGGAAGCAATGGAGAAGGATCGACTGTACGCGGAGTAATGCTGTTCATGCATAGATTCACTTGAGCCATTGTATTTTCCCACTAGGATAAAATCAATTCTTAGCAAATAGCTTTGTTCGAGTTGGAACTTACAGCTGGCCCGTAGGAAATCAGGAATGAATCAATATCCGAATTAATGTCATGATAAAATTTCAATGGTGAAAGAAGACGTTGTACTCGAAAACCAGTAGATAGGTAAGGTTCACCGATTTCTACCGAGGGTGTCCTTATTGAATCTAATGTATCGGGTGTTACTTCAGCTGCACATATATGTCCCCACAAATGAAATTGTTGCATTTGCCACAATGGTTGTCGGAAATCTCGGAAATGTATCGACCATTCATCACATCTCAAGATTACATACCGACACCATATTGTACACAGATCACTGGTCTCAATGGGAATCTGTGTACTTTCGGAATCGATCTGATGTATGATATTCAGTATATTTTCTTTTCCTGTCCATGATCGGTCAGCTAATGCGGTCAGATCGACTTGTCGTAAATGCCAACGAATAAGATTACGTTTGATACGTTGATGATTTTCATCATAATTGGTACTTTGACTGCGTTCTATGTAAACTTTTGAACTAGCTTCCATCAGAGCACGTTTTAATTCGTTAGTGTTATTCAATGGATTGGATTTACGTTCGGACTCCTCGATACGCTGTTGAAGTACTTGTTCACGTAATTCACGTTCTTGATATTCATCGGCCATTAACTAATTGTCAACGAAACAATCCGTAAACTTCATTTTCAACTATCGAATCAAAACTTACGCAATAATTTTGAAATAATTTCACTTCGAACAAATCATCTGTAATAGCTAATTCAAAATCCTTGAACAGACAAAAAAAATCGTGTCTGAAAGAATTTTCCAAGGTATACAAACACTCACATTGACTTTTATCGAGAGGTCTGTCCAGACATCATTTGATATTGAATGTCGGGGAATTTCATTGAGGAAATTCGTTGACATGTCACCATTATGATTATGAATGCGTTTCAACCATTTACGAATGTTGACCAACTAAAAAGTATGAATAGTATAACTCATTGCAATCGAAATCCGTAGCAACCTTTTCCACCACTTCATTGAACGTAGAATCGAACGGAAAACGAATTGAAAATGAATTGATCTGTATCAGACTAGCACGATTCTGAATCATATCAAGTGTAGGTATTGTTTTCTTTAACAGCAAACGTTCCGTGGTTAAATTTTCTGATTGACTCAAACGTGTAAACAAAATATTCTAAGATAAAACAACCAGAGTGATCTCAGTTACTTTTCGAATATAACTAAATCCTACATTGACAAGGAAAATGCATTGCTGTTGACAATCGATCATTACTTGAAAACATTTCAATTCCATTTGCGTATCATTATCATACAAAAGCTGACGCACATACCGACCGGAGAATTGTTGCAATTCCAAATGAATTCTTAAGATAAAACAGTCAACTACATTCAACACATATTCATAGTCGATCTACCTGCAATCACTCGATAATTGTAAGTATACATGAGTACATGCTTCTATTTCAAATGTGATGTTGCTCTTCGTTGTTTGTGATGGATTAGAATTATCAGTGGTACCGCTCGGTACCGTTTTCGTTTTCTCGCTAATCGATTTTAATAATGAAACAAAACGATAGAGGAATAGATGTAACTTAGTTGACCATGATATTGTGATATCACATGGAATAGAGATTTTTATCATTGAAGTTTTCTATAAACGCAAATGTAGAATCTTAATTTTAAATTGCTATGAATATACCTGTAGATGTTGAACACTTAAACGGCGAATATCGAGTACTGATTGACCTTGCATGAATGAACTTAGAGGCTACAAATACAATACGTTAGTTTGTTTAAAATATTTCTAAGATTAAAAACAATTTCGAACCATATTAGTTGCTGGTTGGTTTTGAAAGTATGCAAGAATCTTTTTCATATCCATATGTGTTCGATTTACACGGATCGATGATATTACAACATATAAACATACTAAACAAACAACAGGAAAATTGATTACTATTTGATTGTGTATTATATATACCTGGTAAACTATCACAGATAACCAAGCTGATCGTTTTCATCTGGAATGATAAATCTATCGAACGTGATGGTTTTGTCGATGACTTCGACCGCATTGTTTGTAAACGTTTTAATAGATGAATTAGTATTTGGTTAGATTGAACGCGTAAACCATCAATATCAGATTGAATCTGTATTGCTTGATTAAGTGATATCTATGCGAAGAAGATAAAACATGATGAATGAATCATATCAAGCGAATCTTGGAATTGCCTTACAGATACATTGGCAGTTGGAAGATAAAGTAAACAATTCCAAAGATGTTTTTTATCGAGATCATCTACAATTGATTGGGAGAAGATACTATCAGTAGAAATGACACTATCGGCTGTGTATAGCAGCATGTTTTTCACTTCAATCACGGACCTAAAACGAAAGAATAAGATCCGAGGCGAAAGATTTTGTCCAATACGTTATTTCAAGATTTTGTTGATTGAAGTAGAAGTTTATTTTTGAAAAATTCGTTTGCCAAATGAAATATTCTTCTATGTCATATAGTTTGAAACAAATAGCCGGTTTTAAAAATTGGAATGATATCTTAATTTGTCGATTAAACTTCCATGAACTAAAACAATCCTATAATTTTTATCAAAGACACTTTCCACGAATTTACCTGTTCGATGAGGATGATCGAAACGATAGTAGAGTGTGAAGTTGTTGAATGGTTTGTTCATGCAATTGAATATTCAGCTCATTTAACTGACATCCTATATCAACATTATTCGGATGTACCTGAAATCAAGAAAGATAATATTTGTTAATTTGCTCAACACTCCATTGAAAGATGCTTTGCATAGCCAAAGATCAAGTTTCTATAAAGGATTAGTCTGATCTCGATTTTCCTTTTGATAGCTGTTGCGCACGAATGAAAAAGCTCCAACAAATCTTACTATTGTTTGACATAGACCATTGATGAGAAGCGTCGATGGTGAATGAAGGCGAAAATTAGCAATATATGCATGCCGTGTGTCGGATGATGTATTCGAGGAGTTATGAAATGAAAAATGTGCAGTATCAAGACAATGATGGTGCTGAGTTTTATCTCTATAAACATAAAAATCGATGACTACGTGGGAAAATTTCACTCATAGAAAACATACATAGTTGTGTAGCGGATATCAAAATGTTGGATAGAGATATTGACGAATGGATCACGAAGATATTCGACCCATTGATCAAATTGACTACTGAATATATTATTCGACTGAATCAGTTGAGTTTCTGATGTCAAATTCGAATCAACAGAATGAAAAGTTGATACCCGTTGTTGTTTCAAATACCTAATTAAATCTAAAACAAAACCATTCGATTCGCTCTTGTTCATATCGATTCACTTACGATCGTTAAACTCTATCGAACTGTTTGTTGTACTAATCAATAAACGTTGATGGAAATTTGTTTGTAATTCGATACTACTCCATGTTGATTTCAATAAATTTGTTGACGGAGGATCAATAAATAAAAACTGAACATCTCCGCAATGAATTCTCATGTCCAAACTAAATACGATACTAGAATTGAACGAATCCAAATGTTTTCTTATCTGCATACTTAGTGATGTTTTGCGTAGTCGTTGGATGTAAGAGAATTTGTTTAAAAGACAGTTGAACATTTTGATATTCAACGTGGAATTGTTCGATGCGAATTGAAAGATACTAGAAAACAAGAACATTTGTTTGGTTTCATTATCGACGGTAAATTTACTTTGAGTAAGGCTAATTTGCCTTTCCAATCATTGGTTGATTTCGATTTCGTGGAAGTTTTATTTGTTTTTGGATGAATGGTTAAATGAATATTATTGAGCACAACATTTGGCACGCGACGTAGAAAGATTGAGGGTAGAGAAAGGAAATTTATGTATTGTACACGGAGGTGAAATTGTCGATGATTGATTTCAAGATTTTGTACGTCACCGATACTAATTGAACTAAACTTAATACGAATTTCATAAAACCAATTGAGATAAATTAAAGATAAACTAAAATAAACGAGAGCAAATTAATTATCAATCATATCCAGTTCATCCCTACCGTATCGTGATCCAAATAATTGAAAAAATGATGCCAAAGGCAAGAAGAAATAGGCCCAGAGCTCCTCCGAAAACCATTTCGTGACTTTTTCTCCACCTAGCATCAAAACATTGAATAGAAATGATTCACTAGATTTGTTCTTATTGTCATAAACCATTCGCAATACGTAGATGGCGCTGATTATCAGAATGGAAGAAATCCCAATTTTCTCTCAAGAAATCTGTTGAAATATTGCTCGCTAAAAAATTTTGATTCTTTTCCTGAAGAAACCAAAAACGAGAAAACAATGTTTCGACTTTCAAAATCCCATACTTCTCCGAGAATCTGATTGGATACGAGCGAGTTTGAGTTTGTCTCTTACTACACATGCAAATGTTTATTTGGTGTTTTACTTCTGTTCGTATTACTGAAAAATAATTTGTAATTTTCTTGTAGATTATTCATTGGTGAACTTCATTAAACATGGCTACGAAAGATCCAGCAACTGGTAAAGTTCCCGCCCAAGCTGGCGCTGGTGAACAACAGGAATATAAAATTCGGATTACACTAACATCGCGCAATGTGAAATCATTGGAAAAAGTCTGTGCAGATTTGATTCAAAAGGCCAAAGAAGAAGAAATACGCGTCAAGGGACCTGTACGTATGCCAACAAAAGTTTTACGTATAACAACACGTAAAACACCTTGTGGTGAAGGTTCAAAAACGTGGGATCGTTTTCAAATGCGTATTCACAAACGTGTTGTTGATTTACATTCAAAATCGGAAATTGTTAAACAGATCACATCCATTAGGTAAGAAGAGGAAAATTTTTCTATATCTGATTTGATGGTCTCTCTTCTATCATTTAGTATCGAACCAGGTGTAGATGTTGAAGTAACAGTAGCCGATTCATAAATGGTAAACGAAAACTAATTGAAATCTTGAAGAAAAGATATTAACATCAAACTTGTCTTTCTCTTCTTCCCGTTGTTTTTGTTGAATTTTATATCAAAATAAAAAAAACAACAAAATTTCATAACAACATAATAAGAAAAGAAGTTTCGAATGTAGTTTTATATTTTCTCTTCAAGCACAAAGAAAATGATTAGCACAATAGAATGACATCAAATACATACTTGTTCGGTTCTAAGCTTACTCTAAGCGAAAGAAAAGTGCATGTAAGTCAATGATTAATAACGATAACCATGTGATCGTCTACTGGGATAGTGTCGGCTGGAGTGATGACTATAATGACCGGAGCTTCCTGGATATCCGTAGTAAGCTGGTTGGTCGTAGTAATAAGCCTCTTGTTGTTGTTGTGCTTGCATTTGTTCGACTGTTGCACCATAAGCCGAACCGATTCGATGCGCTGCTGCTACGCCAAGTCCAATACCAGCTCCTACAGCACCCACAGCAGCACCTGTCAGCAGTACACCAGCTATGAGCGCTCCGGGACCCATTTCTTATCGAAAGATTTCAAAAAGAAGTGCACAAACGAATCTTCCTTTGTTCTCTGTACACCGATTGGCCACACTGTTAGTAATAATGACGATGATATTAACGAATATTCAGTATGTCGTACTTAAATAAATATACCACGAGGCGATGGCTCGTAATCGATGCGGAACGAAACAAATCAGGAATGTAAATTATATGATTTTATCGATTGACCAATAGTTAAAATGACTATCAATACATGCAGCACCGAACAAAACAATCTTCTATCCCTGAAACAAGATTTATTTCAGATATTTGCTTGGTACTTTTTGTACTTAGTCACTCAAACAACCAGTTTCAAATAAAACGCGTTCTTGTTTATTTGAAAAACAGAAAACACCACTCACACAATGTAAATGAATGTCTTACGTCAATTACATATTATATAAAATGTCATACTGTGACGAAATAAAGCGGGCGAAAAGTTAATTTCGATTTTTCATAAAGGAGTGTTATTAGACTCTTTTCCGTTTTACTCAAAAAAATTCAAGCCGAAAATCATATAGATCAATGTGGGTGTATCCGTTACAGATATATGAATAACAAACCTACAGTACATAGGTTACGTCATTTCAGTTTCTTTACAGCAAGTTACAAGCATTAAAGCCCGAAGCTTTTCATACCATCAATATCATTCTGAGTGAAGGTTCCATCCATAACTTGCGACGTGCTTTGTTTGAGCCAGTTTTTCCCAGTAAAGAAACGATAGATTCGGTTGAGCGTGTTCAATAATTCATTTCGAAAAATTCTTGCTGAAAGTGTATAGAAGAAGAATCCGAGTGCATGAGAACCGTACGATAGTAAACGTAGAATCGCAATTAAGAGACTATATTGAGCTTTTTGTAAAGGCGTCTGTTGAGTTTGTGAAGAAAATGTGTCAACTAATTTCTGTATTGCGAATGGTAGTGTAAACACGATAATAATCAATACTTGAATGAGAAGCATGATTAGTAATTGTGTGTCGCGTCTTTTATTCCCATTTGTTCGAAGTTGAGTTCTTGTATACACTGTGGGAATAACTAACCGACGTCTCCGTCGAATATTTCGTAATGTTAGTATTCCAAAAACGAACATGAGTATCGGTGGCACTAATGCGTAAAAAAATAGGTACTGCAAATCGGATAGAAGTCGATAAATGCCTGTTAAGGCATAGCATGATTTGGCAGATGAAATTGAATCGATTTGAATACCGAAAAGAAATAAAACATGAAGATACGATATGAAGCAGATCAAACATATGATGATACTCAAACGACGAGCGAATGAAACTTGATTAAAACGCTGTTTCGCTTGTATACTTGATAGCCAACGATCGATGCAAGCTAGGACAATAAACCATGTTGCTAATGTTCGAGAATAATACGTTAAAAAATATCGAATTTTACAAAAGACATCCGAACGTAGACTCAGATCATTCCCATAACCATCAGAAACTATTCTGGTGACAACCACCCAGTATAAAACAATCATATTCGATAGACTATTGTACAGTAAGTATTGTACACACGAATTTTTGTAAAGACTGCGACGAGTAAAAATAATCATATTCAAAATTAGACCAATTGTACCAAATACAACAAATGGCAGTGGAAAATATCGATTCATTTGCACGTTAATATAATTCAACCAGCTTATATTGGACGACGCAGACATAGTTGTGCAGATAAATGTGAAATCAACAGTAAGGCTCATTTCTATTATCTATGAATATTATTTTTCTTGCCATGATGACTTCTGTCTAATTACATTTCTTTGAAAATTACACTCAGGGTGGTATTAACGTTAACAATCAGGTCAAAGAAATGAGAAGCACTCATTGAAATGAATGAATACACATCCGACATGTTCTTATCAAATCCATTCAGCATTTCGATTTACTCAACCGAAAATCGATTTCTATTTATTCGATGTCATTCACGGGAAAAGTGCTTGCGTAAAATGCACTTTTAGACCCAGCAAAATTTCGATGAATCCTTTGTTAACTACGACATCATCAACAACAGATGATCAACATTTGACATTTCAATTATGGAAGAACATTCAACCGAAGACTAAACAAAAACAGTGTCTGACAAAGATTTGCTGTTAAAGAGTGCATCTCATTCTATCCAGAAATCTCCTTGATATGTTTTTTTTTCATGACTTGATCAAGGTGTCGATTTTACCGATTCCTATCCAGGAAAACAAACGGCAACCAATTGACTGCCACGCTTAAAAATAGTAAGCATATAGTATTAACTACTTCGATTTAGCAAACACGATATCAGACCTCGATGGTAGGAAACAGATTTCTTGACCGACAATCCTATTTACATTCATTCTCGTGAGAAAGCCAACTTTTATTATAAGCAAGAAATCATTTAATTATATCTGAAATCTGACTCGAACGAGCAGTTGTTATGAAAATAGAACCAGGTGTTTAGAAACAGATTGGTTTCTTTTTGTTTTACCACGAGGCGTTCCCGTAAAATGACATAGATTGATTATCAAACGTGCAGATGAATAGCAAAGCACATATTAGTTCAATAATAAAATGTTGATGTGTTCTTCTCATTGAATGACAATCAATGATTAGTCGGTGCGACCTAGGAAAAGTCAGCACACCCACTGATTATTATGTTGATATTCAGAAAAACAACTCATGCTTTTTTTTGCGTTCTCATAAAAAGTGCTATGCGCGCATTCCAATAAGATCGAACTTCGTGTTGACGACCGCGTTGTGTGGTGTCTTGTGCCAGAATTAGGCTTATAATGGGAAGAAGATCTTTTGAGAGTCGATTCGATCTGTCTTATGATGGAAAACATCAAAAATGAATCTCCCCAATGTATAGTTAACATCAAACATGTTGTCAGAAGATCTGGTTGATTTTTTCAAATATAATTTATTATTTCGATGATCGTGTATGCTATGCACTTTATTGATGACTTTCGAAGATACGTTGACTTCAATGATCTCAAGATATTCTACTATCACATCAATCTGAACAATTGCAATCAATAGATACCAGGATTATCACGTATGTTAACATCGATCTGGGACATTAATTATTCAATAGTGTAAATGAAAACATATCGGATCAAATGTTTTCGACGTCAAAGAAACATATCTTCCACGCATACACATATTCATACAAAGTATGTAGTCAACCAGTATACATAGTCAACCCTGGAGAAACCAATCACAGAGTTTAATTGACTACGTCAAGTATACTCGACGAATCATTTACTCGTAGATCATGAACATGAGTTAATAGGATTGTTTGCTGTAATATGTGTATTCGTAATTTATAGGATGTTGCTTCGCTAGTTAACAGATGTTCTCACGTTTTCGAAAAATTCATGTGGATATTGGAGTGCATTGCCATCTGTTTGGTATCGTCGAAAACAATATTCAAACAGAGATTTTTTGTATAATTTATTTCTTTTTTCTTTGAAAAGTAGTTCGAACTAAACTTAGAACAATGTTTTGTTTATGAATAATTAATGGTGTCATATTGATTTTCTTTTTTCTCAAAGATTTATACAGCTAAAAATGAAAGAGCTAGACTAGCAGCATAATCGAAAAATATGTCGAATAGAACAACTTTGCCTCGAAGAAATAGAACCCTTCTTCCTAGAATATTGGTGCAATGCATAACAAAACGCAAGTGGAGTATATCAGGAGTTTCTCATATAGAAAAATTCATTAGTTTACGAAGTGGAAATGCATAACACGAAGCCTTGATTGTTTTACTATTAATTCAATGCTGAACAAATTCTTTCTTAAATGAACCCCACAACGTGAACGTTAATGCAAAAAAAGTTTTTGTTTTGACTTTTTGCAGCGGAAAAGAAAAGAACATCTTTAGCTGCACGCACTCTTATCGGTTTCCATCTGGTTCTTTTGCTTTTTTTCTTTCACAAGCAATGCCATCACTGATTATATTGACGAATATATCTCGTTCTTATTCTTCTTCTTCTTCTTCTTCTCCTTTTGTCTTGCACTTCACTAAGAACAAAGACAACTTCAGGCTGCAATTTTCATTTCGTGCATCACCCGCTCACTAGATTTTCTTAGATGAAACATTCATCAAGCTTTTCATAATCTACGTCGTTTCGTGTTTCAATTTAACATGCAACATGCTACTTAGAATTATAAGAGATATTTCTGATAAATATAGTTTGCATCTGCAAACAAAAGACATTAGTCGAAATTTCGTAAGTTAAATATATCAACAGAAATGAATGTAAGCAACAGAAACGTCAGTCGAGATTTCATGCTAATAATCTGCATTAAAAGTAATTAAAGCAAAACGAGAAAGAGGAGTCTAAGTAAACATCCGCTTTCCATTGCTTTCTATATTCAAGTATCAATAGAAAGAAAAGTTTTCTCATCGGACTTACACACTGCCGTGTTACACGCTTGATCGACAATGTAACACTTTGTAAAAGTACGAAGACTTTTACATCAATTCTTATTCGCTGAAAAGCATCTACGTAAGTACGAAGACTTCTTTTTTGTTCGAGTTCAAGTCGTTTGTGGTATACTAATTCATTTGTACATTAATCTTATTTCAGTATAAATACATATTAAATCTATGGCAGCAAACGTCACTCTTGATTCTAGTCGTGATCTTCGGCATACACGATTGATTCTTTTATCGGTGCTTTTCTCAGTTGGTCTCACGGGTTGTTCAATAGTTATATATTGGTTAATACGTTATGCAAGATGGCACATGAGATCAGCACGCATCTGTTCGCTTATATTAAATTTAGTTATTGCTAATCTATCTGTATATATATTCGCCACTGGTATTCAAATATTTTGGGAATTTCAAACAAATCGACAATGGCCATTCAATGATTTCCTATGTCGTATAACGAAATTTTTTCAAAGCTTTTCCATTCTTTCTGCTACATATATCGTCGTTTTGATGGCTATTGATCGTTGTATTGCAATAGTAACACCGTTAAAAGCCGGTCAAATTCGCGTAAGTTTCGAATCTTCTTTGATTCTAATCCGAATCAAATGCCTATTCTCAATTTTCAATAGGTACTCTATCTCTGTGGTAGCGCATGGTTGTTAGCGGGCCTTCTATCAACACCGAATATGTTCATATTTCATTTACGCGTCGATAGCACCGGTCGTCATTGTACGGCCGGGTTTAATCAGCACTCGACGCGTACTGGACGTCGGATCTATCTGACATTTATTTCACTCGTTGTTTATTTTATACCGTTTCTTGTTCTTTTTCTTTGCTACACATTAATTTTTATCAAGTTACTATGGCGTGAACGTGACCAACAGAGTCGATTGTTTGCCCCAAAATCATTTTGTTGCTCGTGGTTATTGGACACGAAATCGACTTATTCACCGCAAATGACGTTAGAAACAACAAATGCAAGATCAGGATCAACACGTTCATCTTTCACAGAATTTGATGCGCGACGAAAACGTGCCAATACGTACGCAAAAGCTCGCACAAAGACATTTCGAATGGTAAGTGCCATTTTTTATTTCTTATGACAAGTTTTGCATCATTGGAATAAAAACATATTAGAACACTAGAAGATTATTGGGGAATTTTATCAGATTGAAAGCTACTCTTATGTGCGCTTCTAATCTTCTCAGTGTCTGCTTGAATGATCCTTTCAAAGTCTTATTGAAAAGATCTTCCTCAACGACAAAAGTATCTATCTTTTTTCGACACTTTTTTGCTAGAAAGTTTCTTGCATAATGGGAATGTTTTAACAAATCTTCACTTTCATCTTTAGATCATCGTGCTCGTTCTGTCCATGATTATTTTCGGTGCACCGTATTACTGTCTAGAATTGTATGTTGCTTACACTGGACGGCATCCGACTGATCTAGTAACCGCTTTAGCTGGTGGAGCAGCTGTTGCGCCTTCATCACTAGATCCATGGATATTTCTTGTTTTCTGGGCTAATTGGAATCAACGAGCTAATATTGGTAGTAGTCGTCGATTGGGCAATGGAAGTTTACAACAAAAACAGCAGCAGCAGCAACAACAACAACAACAACAACAACCATGCTTACAAGTGCGACGAACGATGCGAGCAAATACAACTGGTACATCATCATCGAGTGATCGGCGTCAACATCAAAACGTACTTGTTGTTGGCCAATCACCTATGCCACCTTATACGATAAGATGGAACTCAACTCATAAGAAACAATGCCTGTCGTAAAGTGTATATAAATGTTTTTTAAAGAGAAAAATGCGCTTAAATAATAATAACTATCAATGATAATTGTCGTACAGACCAGTATTGCTTGAATATCTTTAGATTAACTAATTGTTCATTCGTTGATAAACAAGAAAGCATTGTTTCGTGTTATTTAAAGAAACTCGATTTGTCCTATGAGATAAATGTAGGAAGTCGTTTCCGTATCGGAACTATTATATTTGAGTGTTGGCATAATAATACCTCAGATTGGCTGCGTATGCGTCATCTGCAACTACGGATTTGCTTAAGAATATACTTATTTTAGTTTACAAATTATCTTTTGATTGTTACATTTCTCGTCGATATATCCTCTAGTGGTGTGTGAATTGCATTTATAAATAGTCTTGTATGATGTTTGATGCGTTGTCGTTTAGTACGAAGTTCTTGTCGTGAACTGATCGTGTTATGCAATTGTTCAACGTAGAATGTGAATCAAACGATAAACTGAATTGAAAAGGTCAAACTGCGTGTCTTAATTCAGATTAATTTACATCAGAGAATGACTTTTAGTGTAGCAAAGAAAAAGAAAAACCTGACATCAGCTCTAGTGGATTAAAGCGTAGCAGAAGAATTCTTTGTCTGAAATTTAATCAAGATCAAAATGCATTTCCTCGTTCAATGATACTAGGACATGCTTGAATTGAAAAGAACTTTCTTGTCACCTTGACTGATCTCTATACTGACAATTCTTTTATTTATCACATTCAATTAGTGGAAGTTGTCCTTATCTATCCCTACGCAATTTATTTGAAAAAAAAACAGGAATTTGTCATTAGAAAATACTTCCAATTCTTCAAATGCCAACTTTGCTTAGCACCTACAAGAGAGAAAAAAACAGTTTTCCTACAGTGCATTGTTCTGTTATCTATATTAAACTAATAGCAACCGGATATGACGCACATCTACATGCAATTCCATCGATTGCATGCTAAGGTGTATTAATTTGAAATGTGAACTCCGTAGTCACTTAGTTGCTGCATCATATAAAAGGAAATAAAATCACTGATGAGTGCCTTTTTCAACGATGAATACCTTTTTCACGGTTTTACTAATTTTATGTTTGAACTATTCGGCTCTAACAGCATTTACATGCACACCCAACTCACAATATTATGTTGAATGTACAACATTGAGTACATTCAATGAATCGAACAACTTTTGTTCCAAATATGGAATGACGCTATTGAATTTAACGAATTCGACCACCATAGCTCCAAATATCAATCAAACGCTTGTAGCAATCAATTGTACAAATAATTTCTGGTACACAATGAATGATGGCGCTCCTCTTCTTGGCAATATTGGCTCCTTAACTGGTGGTGTCCTATGCACAGTCATTCCTCTTCTCGGTCTTTATTGCATTTCAACATCCGCCACCTATGCAGCAACGGTGTGTTATCGAACGCAACAATTGAGTATTCAACAGCGATGTGTGGATACTGATCCGTATCAACGTTATGATCTTAAAAAATCGAAATATACACAGACACTCATGTACGCATCACCCTATCAAGTCTCTCAAGTGAATAGTCAATCTCAATGTAATGCACTCTGTTCAAATGTTGGCCGCTGCCTCGGTGTAACATATAAGAAATATAACTGTACACTCTATATTTAATTTCAATACATATATATATTTATCGAGTTAACAACACATATTCATAATAAATCTTGTGATGATTTTGCTTTCAGTCTATATCGAAAAAACTCTAAAGTTATGAAATCACCAAGACTCGTCGGATAAAGCAGAGCTATGGATCGACATGTATGAAGGTAGTCACCGTAACAATATCCATTCTTGATATGTGCTAATGTGATATGATATTCGTGATATTGAACATAACACTGATCATTTTTACATTGATTATTGAGATATTTTTCATGCAAGGCATCTTGAACACATTTCCATAAATGTCGTTCGCGGGCAGTTGGATGTAAATGACGTAAACATTGATCCATCAGTTCTGTATGCCGTACGAGATTTAGCGCTTGGCCGTTGAGCACATAAGCATTGCCTTCGTGTTGTTCATGAACGACAATAAATGGATATTGTGCATCGTATGATGAACTATTGAGTAATATTGATAGCTTTTCTCGAAAGACAAATGTCGGTGCAGGTACGATCAGCAATATATCATTATTCGATATGAAGTCATAGGAACTAACCGAATTTCGAATTGCTATCAGAACACGTGTCCATAAATTAACATAATACGATAGTTGTGGAATATCGAAATCTTGAAAAATAGAGAGAATTTCTTCGAAATAGAGAGAAAACTTTGTGTGCAGCATATCTCCTACCGTCATCAGATTTTTGTACTTTTCGAAATCTTGCTACACCAATTTTATAACAATTCTTTCCCCACGTTAAATTGCTCAATTGAATAAATCGTTCGTGAGATGAATGTGTATGAACTAATATACAATAGAGACGTGAATGGTTGCTATACAGATTCGTAATTTCACTGATAATGATTCGATCGGAATGAACAATCAAGGACAGTATAAACACGAAACTTAAAGTAAGCAGAAATAGAAGGTAACGATGACGAGAATATCGTCGCCGGCGCTTGCATACATACGACATGATGTTGGTATGTAAATATGAGAAAAAAAGAGAGTAAACGAACGAATGATTTGTGAATTTTGTTTCTCTTCTGTTTCAACAAAAAACAGAAAAGAAAAAGAAGAACTTTTTCTTGTATTTTTCGTAACAAACAAAAGAAAAATACACTATTTTTTTATCTAACTAAATTACACGCAATTCTGCAGGCTGTCCCATTTTGACAATAAACTGTCTCTGTCCATGAATATCTTCATCTCGAACAATAATATTGTGTACTTGTTCTCGATTATGTATGTGCCTTTCTTCGACACACTCGCCTTGTTCTCCGAGTAGCCAGACGTCATTTCCATTGATCACTAACCACGAACGATCGTCGAACGGTGTTATGTACATTCCTAATCCACCGGATTTCAAGTTAATACCTCGATACATTCGTACAAGTGTAAAATCAAAGACATCCACACGCCAATGTTCGTTGGTTTGATGAGAATGTCGTTCAGTTCTTTGTTGTTTTATACAAATAGCTAAACATGTATCATTAGCACGTATACATGAAACAAGTCGATCATCTGATTCGAATATGTCGTGATACCATCGTTTCACTAATGAACCGGATAGGAATGACCAACGTTCGATATTTGTACGGGAACCGGATGTTGTCAGAGCGAAAAATGCATCAGATGCATTGGGAAGACAAGCTATTGATTGAAAATGACTACCTAAATGAAAATACCAACAAATACAACAATTCATTAGAGTATGATGTTTACCTGTGCTAGGTTTGATTTGTTCACTGCGATCTAATGTTGACATACGTGGATCAATCGTAAAGAAACTCACTGATGATAGGACACAAAACTGTTCGAGATAGTTCGAATAAACTATATCTTTGATTGAACCAATAAATGCATCATCGTTTTGCTTTTGCCATGGAATTTCATTGACTCGACGTTCCTCGTCGAAGAAAACTAAATGATCATCATCTTCGATTAATATTTGATTATTGTCGGACACAGCTACGTAAGGTGAATGACTTGAATGGAGAAGAAATCGACGTGAGGGTGTGGAGATCTTATCGAGTTGAGATAATTCGGTGTTTTCACGTTGAATATCTATGAAGAAAAGATCTGTTATCGCATTTCAATTCAAACTATACGCTCTACTTTTAAGTATATCAACTTGTTCAGTTAGTTTTTTCTCGTCATTTGTTATTTTCGTTAACAATCGTCCGAAAACTTGTAAATGCGTATCAATTTTTGTTATTTTTGCCTTCAAATCGTTATATTCTTGATCAGATAAACTCTTCCGTCGTTCGACAACCGTTTTACTCAGATTAGGTATAATATCTTGGGTTAATACAGCTGAATGCCGTTGTTTCAATTGGTTCAAACGACCTGTTAACGAATCGAGTTTATTCGTTGTACTTAAATGTATGTTATTTATCAACGAAAACATTTCCGTTCGCCATTCTTCTAATGTTCGTCGAGAACTTGCTAAATCATTTTCAATTTGTAGACCATCTATTAACGCTAATAACGATCGGGCACGTTCGTGCAAAACTTGACCAGACGCAGACATTGAAACGAACACTATTGACTGCCTATTCTCTTGATTAGTTCGGAATGAGTCATACAGACTATGCATCTCATAGCGCTACAGTCAATGTTACTATTTAATAGCTGAGTTAATTATATATCATCATACTATGTTAATATTTTGCAAGTAGACGACACACATATTGCTATTATTAAGAATTGCATGTGATTGGTAAGTGAAATATTCCTATCACATTCGTTTGATGGATATGTTTGCGAAATCATTTTTTTATCATTTCTTCTTCATCATCTTCGTGTTGTTTTCAGACGATCATGTGGCTCACGCCTACAGAAACGTCGGTAAGATAGTTTTGGATCGTTGAAACATGTTGTTTTATATCTACATTCTTTCAGATAACAGGATTATGGTACAATGATTTCAAATAGTTTCGTTTTTCTTTATTTTTCCGTTCCTATTTAGGACAACGGATCAAGCCAATCCATATTTCATGTTACAACGTCGTCGAGGACATGATGAACCGCGTTTTGGCTTTGCTAGCTATGTTGTAGCAAAAATTGATTCGGTGCTAGATGCGAAAGTAAAGTAGGAATTTTGACGACGAAACAGAAGAATAAATTACTTTTGCAATAGAACCATCACTATCGAATACTTCATACGCGTCCTGATTCGCGAGTTTCTTATTGTAAACTTGACGTTTAATCTCGACATGACGCAAAAGAAACATTTGTTCTTACTCTAGTGATTGCCGAATCAGCTAAAAAGGAAGAAATCGAGGAACATTGGAAATGGATTCAAATACATCTAATGCCAAAAATTGGTACAGATTATTTCAGCTCTGCAGTTTTTATGATCTATGTTTTGTAGACGACATAGTTGGCGGTAATGACATAACCCAATTTGTGCATGGAAAAATTAAATGTCTGTGCACAGAAGCAGATGATAAAGAAGTTGAAGGTAAAACCAAGCTAGAAGAAAATATTGTTCCCATGAATCGATCACAAAATCGTAACAGATTTAGAAACAGAGAAGTTCAAAGCCGCAACGAAGAAATTCTATAAGGTATTCAACATGCCACCTGATGAAAAACTTGTTACCTGTAAGTATCTCATAAGAGACCAATATTCGTATTACTTCTCACGCACTATTGTTATTTATAGATTATTCCTGTTATTACTGGATCGGCCGGGTACCACGCGATGGTTGCCTATTTTTATCTGTGAATTATCTTTGTTTCTATTCGAATGTACGTGGAAAAGAGTTAACTCTCGTGGTGAAATTTACGGATATTATGGTAGGTTTTCGTTCCATTGGAGCGTCGCAATATCGAAGATTTCTGTTTAGTCACTTCAACGTGTCCATGTAATTGTTTCGGAAGTTATACGTGTGCGAACACGTCTACACGAGTATGAATTCGGAATGTTTAAAAAGATCGATGAAGTATATCACATAACAGTACAAATAGCGGATTTCGCTGCGAAAAAGTAAATTTAGACACGCGCCCTGTCGATAAACCTGTTTTCTTCTCGCTCTAGATTATTATCTCAGAAAGGTGCATTCCAAGAAGAGAATTTCTTTCCAGCTGTGACTAAGTATGAACATTGGCTTGTCAAGCTGATACATCCTTGAAACTATTTTTAGGAAAACAGCTCCCAAAGTTATGTCTCAATTGAAACGTGATTTTGACGCGAAGTCTCGTAGTGAAGCATACCGGTATCGATTTCGCTTACCATTAAATGAACGTCTCGACGGCGAGATCGTTTGTCATTTATGGACAGCATACGATCGTTCTAGCGTACTTGGTAAATTGTATATCTCGTCGAATTTCGTATGCTTTGCGAGTAAAGTAAGAAGTGACAATCACTTGATATACACATTCGATTCTTCATTTCAATTTAGAACTACCATCAGGTTAGCTTGATCATTCCATTTCGTGATATTTCGCAAATTAATAAGCGAATAGACGACACTAAACAAACAGATCTCGATATTCCATCAGCATTGGTGATTACAATGAAAAATCGAGTAAGAACATAAGATATCAAACAGGATAATTTCGATTTCGGAACTATTTTATTAGGGCGAACCATTCACATTTTCGCATTTTGATGATCGAGAATTTATTCTTCAAAAATTATCGGACTTCTTATTTCACCGTAACGAACCAGTAAAATCAACCGATCATGAATCAGATATAGGTTCGTTTTAGATCGTTGTCCTAATTTCCCTATACATAGACAATTTCTTCTTCTAGTTGTATCTACGCCACTCTATCAACCATTTGTTAAAGATTACAACGAACAACGGCAAGCTCTGGAAAAGATCCGTGAAGCTGATTGGGCAGCCCATTTTCTGACCTACGGCCAAGGTCCAACAATGTACCGAACAAATAATCTATATGATCTTCTATTTCAAGGCATTCCAGATTCCTTACGAAATGAATTATGGTTAATATTTAGCGGTGCTGTCTATGATGTAAGTCCCATTGGAAAGTATACGTGCACGTCAATATAATGTTACCTTGTTTTTAGAAAGCAGCTAATGAAAAAACGTACGAAAGATGTGTCCGTGAATCCCAACTAGCTCAAACAGATCAAGATATGATCAATGAAGAAATTGAACGTGACCTCTACCGTGCACTACCCGAACAGAAAGCATTTCAAAACGAATCCGGCATTAATGCTCTCAGATGTTTACTACGAACTTATGCATGTTACAACAAAGATGTAGGCTATTGTCAAGCCATGAATATCATTGGTGCTGTACTTTTGCTATATATGAACGGAGAAGATGCGTTTTGGACTTTAGCAGCAGTATGTGAACGACTATTACCGGATTATTACAATACGAAAGTCGTTGGCGCATTGATAGATCAAGGTAATCTATAACAATGCTTAGTTAATGTAAAACCGGCAAAGAGTTGAAAATTTTCTTAACATTCTATTTCGAGAAAACTAAATGATCAGATTCACATATTTCAAGTCTAAATTATCATTCATTACCTTGTGAGATGTGTTCATGTTTTCAGGTGTATTCAGTGACTATTGCAAAGAATACATGCCTGATTTGTATGAGAAATTGGAAAAACTTGGTATCGCTGCATGTATCACTCTCTCCTGGTTTCTAACGCTTTTTATCTCGTAAGTGATGATATTCTTTCTCGCTATACCATTCCATTCCGTTCCGTTGTGTAGTGTTGTTCCATTCGATTCAATGTTGTATATCATTGATATATTCTTCTACGATGGAATCAAAGTCCTATTTCAGTTAGCATTAACGATCCTCAATGAAAATCGGCAAAGTCTATTGAAATGCGAAGATGATGGCGACGCGATTGTTGTTCTAACACAATACTTCGAGAAACTCTCAGACAAGACTGATATCAAAGAAGAACGAAAAATTGTTCAATTAATTAAAAAATCCTATTCAGAATATAATGGTATTAACGAAGAAGACATCAATCGTTTACGTTTAAAACATCGCCTGAAAGTGATACAAAACATGGGTGAATCATTATTACAATCCGCTGCTAAGAACACCGTCAAATATACAAAATTCAACGAACAAGAAATAAAAAATCTTTTTTATGTTTTCAAAGTAACGATCAAACTTAACTTTATTTTAACGAACAGTTTCGTATTTCTTGTCAGGATGTTTCACGCATATCGCTAACCGAAGCGAATGATCCGCGGAAACTCGCATATGAAACTTATCGAATTAATCGCAATGAGTACTTGATTTTATGTAAATATCTATCACCGTGGTTCATTGGTGAAAATGCCGAAGTTTTGGCAAATAAATTATTCGACGTGAGTAATCACCAATAAGTAATCATGTTCGAAATTCGTTTCGTTTCAGTTATTTTGTGTAAATGGAACATCGAATCAAATTGATTTTATTCATTTTATTCGTTTATGGAATATTTTATGGAAGGGCGAATTTCGAGATAAGTTAATCATTTTATTTCTCGCACATTTAGAAAGTAGGTTCACTAGAGATAAGAACGACTCTTTAGTAAGCAGTTCAATTCTTCATTTTTAGATGTTAGAACACGCGAAGAAGGTTTCAGTATTATATTCGAACCAATACCAATTCGTTCAGCATCGATGATCAGCGAAAGTCAATCGATTGACTTATTATCATCGACAAGAGAACAACAACTGCCTTCGTTCAAAGTTGAAAATGCGGAAGTAACACATTTAAAACCCAGTCAGCTACCTCTAATGACTCAGGTAGATATTTCACTAGCTGGAAACGAATCCTACGAGATCGACACTCTCGTTTAGACCGAATTCATACATCTGTGTAAATCTTTATACAATCTAATGACTGGATCAAACGATGATGAAAATCTATTCAAAGCATTGACAACTTCCAGCACAATTCTTCTACAAATGGGTTAGTTTTTATGATAGGATCGAACTCTCATAATATTCCTAATTCGCTATTTTCTTTCGTGAAAAATAGGTGAAATGTGTAAACCCTATCGTTTGATTGAAATCGACGATACTCCCACTGCTGAATGGACTGTCAGTTTCGAACAATTCGAAGCAACAATGATGGCCGAGTCGTGTTTAGTGTCATGGTTTGAAAATACCAATACTCAAAGTCTGTCACTAGAGCAACGCATTAACAATTACCATCAAGATATCCTCAGATGATCGGTTATCTTTTTAAATAGATAAACATTTCAACAATCAGTTTTTTCTACATTCTAGTGATACACATAGTTCTGTATATTGTGAATGGACAGTAAAACAAATAGACTTTTTTTGTATTTTGAAATGAATAAACAGCTTTGTGCTTTCTTTTTTTTCTCAATTTTTTTGTGTCATCGGTTAATTTAACTAAAAGCAAAATAAAATGTTTACTTTTCACATTTTTATTTCATGGCATACAAAACCGATTGTTTCTATCGAAACGAAAGTGGTCGAATATATCTTCCTTCTCTTGATCCAATCGTTTCGTATTCTGTGTTAAACATCACACAATCACTACGTTTATGATGCTCATCAACAATCATAAATCCACAATTTTAACTCCGGATATCTCGTCAGAAAACGATCTTTGATACTAATAAAATAAAAGCAGTATAAATGGTAAGTCTTGTGATAAAAACGAGATATTCGACCAGGGAACAAGTCTTGACATTTACTTTGACGATAAGGATGCTCTGCAATCTCAAAATAGTTGATAAATATCTATCTAATCTAGCAAACAAAGAGAGTTAAATATCATTCGTTTTAATAATATGTCGATTGTTGTACTTTTCTCATCATACGAAATATACGATATATTCAAATGAACTTTTAATGAGAATGTCTATTCATTATCTATTCACACACCTATCACCTGTCGATGCAAAGATCATCGATCATTCTAAACAAAACTCTATTTTAGATACCACAGTATGAGTAGCCAAACATTTCTTGTTGGTACTGGTGTAAATCGTATATATGCATGTCAACTGACATCGGATGGGCAGTTTGCATTACTTAATGAAACAAAATCCGGAAAAGGTTCAACTTGGCTCTTGCCACGTGAAGATCTGCTCTACGTAGTTAATGAACATGACGATAAAATCGAAACATTTACAATTGATGACCGCAATCAAGGAAAACTAACACTAAAAAACACAATATCTTCGATCGGAGATACCCCATGCGCGTTAGAATTCGACCCATCAGGAAAATGGTTACTTGTTTCCAAGTAAATCAAGTTAACAAAACATTACATGCTCTTTTACCTCTACAGTATCTTCTAGTTATGGCGATAAAGGAGTGGCGAATATAGTGTCTCTCCCATTAAACGATTCGAAATATCCGGACGAAAAGGGTGCTCAAATAACTACAATCGAAGGAGATGGTCCGCATCCAACTCGACAGAAACATTCCTACTGTCATCACGCAATTTTCCATGATAATTATCTGTATGTCGTCGATTTAGGCTCCGATACTTTGAGCGCTTATCGTTTTGATGCTACAACTGGAAAACTTGATCTTGTTGGTGATCGAGTCAAAACAGAAGCAGGTGCCGGTCCACGTCATATACTTTTTCATCCGAGCAAACCATTGGCATTCGTGTGCAATGAATTGAATTCAACAGCGAATGTTTTCCGCGTCGATTCTTCATCGGGTCGACTTCATCATCTTCAAACTATAGGCACTCGCCAAGACAAAGATCAAAGTTGTATTTCTTAACGAATTCTGAAAGCAAAGGACTAACACTACAGTTGTTTTATTTTAGATTCAACTCAAGAGAACTATACTGCTGAATTACAATTTACACCTGATGGGAAATATTTATTAGTATCGAATCGTGGTGATGAGAATTTAGTGATCTTTAATATGAATGAAGATGCCGAAAAAGAAGTCTTAAGTGTAAAAGAACATCTCGATTGCCATGGTTCATTCACACGATACTTTACGTTTGATCCAACTAAAAAGTTTCTTCTGGTTGCCAATCAAAAGTCCAATAATTTAGTTTGTTTTTCATACGATTATGACAATGGCACATACACATTCGTCTCTCAATTGGATAACATCGAAAGTCCCCAACATATGGTATTCCTTAACGATCCATCTCTCTAATCATATCCGTGACAAGGAAAGAAGGCAAATGTAGATGAATTTAGCTTGAAATAAATACTTTCTATTACAATGCAATAATGTAGACGAGAATGTTTGTTTTATTTTAGCTGAGCAAAAGACAATACATAAAATGCAATAGTAAATATCTAAGTTATGTCTGCGCGTTTGATATATCTATTTCGCTTCTTGAACTGCTTTCCACGATGGCCGGGATGTGATTCTGTCCCACCAACTCTTAACGTTTGGTCGTGATTCGAAGAGACTACCTTCGCCGAGCTTGACAAGCCAGGTACCATATGGTAAGTGAAAAAGATCAGCCAACGTAAATTCCTATATGAATTACATTATAAATATGATCTACGAAGACAATTTCATTTACTTGTCCAGCGAGATATGGTTGTTTGGACAGGATTTTATCGTAAACATCTAGTTTTTCACTTAATTGTTGTTTCAATGTTGCAACTCGTGCTTCATCTGATTCACCGAGACCTTTCATTCTATTGTAAAGCACATATAGAAAAGATCGAGAATCAATTTGTTGGTATTACTTTTTGAAGACACGTTCGAAAACGATTGGAGCAGCATAGGGATCGAAATAGCCGGTTTCGATGGATGCAGCTTGTTCAAAAAGACCTTGAGCAGCGGCATCTTTGCTTGGAATTAATTCCGTACCTTTGCCTTTGTATTTGATTTCCAAATAGCGACAAATAGCACGCGATTCTATATAGAAAAAATAAACAAGTTATGTACTGAGTCAATTCATTTTAGCTAACCATAGATTTTAAATCCGTCTTCATCAATAAGAACGGGAATAACACCGAATGGTTGTTTTTCTTCCAGATACTTTGGTGACTGGAAAAATAAAGGAACATTACTCGAGATGAGTTGTTTCCATGGAAAATCTTACTTTGTGTTCGCCAGCGGCAAAGTCTACATTCACTAATTCGTACTTGAGCCCTTTTTCGGCTAATGTAGTAGTTACACGTTGTGTACATGTTGACATAGCCAAGCCATAAACTTTAATCGGCATGTTTTTTTGGATAAAAGTAGTTTTTGCAGCTGAGAGAAAGAGTAGAAAGAAGTGCTGTGAACGACGTTAGACGCGATTTATTTATAGGGAGAGGAGAAAACTGCTCTGTCATCCACATGTGTGCGGTAAATAGCTTCATTCATAAAATATGAAAAGAACGCAACAAAATGCCCCGTCATCAAGGGAGAGAAAATATCCGTACTGATCGTAGTGACAACTGTTGGTATGGTACGTACTAAAAGCGCGTACAAAGTTTCTGACAATGCATTTTTTTCAGTTGTTTTTGTAGATGATATCCTGCATTCAGTAACACACCTAGGTCATACTCATATGATATAATCGACATTCTAAATGTCATAAATATACTGTTGAAAATGTGCAAGGAATTTCCTCTTCAAGCGCTTCTTTCTAACGAGTTCATATGTCGAATCTAGCGTCTTGTTGTGATCCACACATTCATTCATATCATAAATGTCCAAAAACATACTGTGGCAAGTATTCTTCTCGATCCCAGGTCAACAAATCCGACGTTGGATCCGATGGGAACCGATCGGATCCGACCATCCGACGAAATCCGATAGGATTCCTGGTAACGGAATTGCATCGGATTCCGACTGGAAAAATCCAGCCATTTGTTGCAAATTTTATGAGTGTTATTTTTAGCTAGGTTCTATGATGACCCTTAGAAAATTCATAAAATCCGTGTTTCGGATCTGAGTATGGGATTTGCCCACCTGGGATGGTTATTTCTTAGAGCAGTTACTGATGTACCACATTTTGTGATGCTCAGCTACAGGAAGGAAGGCAACACTAAAACGTCACGATTATATCAGTAGAATTAGTTAAACAACGCGAATATTTATTTCCCGCTTTCAATATGCATACTTTTTCATCAGGTAAGTCGAACACCATGATAACTATTTAGTGTTCTATGAATCTACAAGTGACATCTTTCAGAAGTATTTTCGTGATTTGTTTGATCTGGATCAAATAATTTTATTAGTTCGCGTTCACACACTTTACTTCATGTACAAATTTTCATTCATTCAAATCAAATATCAAAGACAAAGATGTTGAAAATACTATTTAATAATCGATATTTGAAGCCGATTTATCTGATCAGATCGTACCATAATTTGAGTATCGAAATGAAAAAACTCAATGACATGAAGCAATTCAAAAGATCTTTAGAATTGTTTCGCGAATGTGAACAAACAAAACATGATATGATTACAGATCTAGCTGTTGGCCAAGCACTGAAATCGTGTGCTAACATAAAAGATTTTCAAGCTGGCTCCCGTATACATCACCGATATGCATCATTAATAGAAAAAAACAACTATTCAATGGGATCTCTGATCGATTTTTATAGTAAATAATAGATGATTGTCGAATAAGAACGTCTTTCATTTCGTATTTAGTGCAATCAAAAGATGTTGATAATGCTCAGTTGCTCTTTGACAAACTGAAGAAGAAAACAGTTGCTATTTACAGTATAATGATGAAAGGTAACTTGTTCTTGTTATTTTCATTTAATCACATTATGGGTTCTTGAATCGAAGGATATATTCGCAACAATCAGGCACAAAAAGCAATTGAAATTTTCTTCCAAATACCTAATACAGATGAGAAAAGTGTTTCATTGTTTTTTCATGCATGCTCACAAGTTCCAAACGAAAAAACATTAGAATTAGTGAAGAAAGTTTTTTCTAACCTTCCCGATCGTTACCAAAATAACGAATATATTCTGACAAATGTTTTTAATGTCTTCATCAAATGCAATGATCTATCAAACGCTGAGAAAATTTTTCCTAAAATTGCCACCAATGCGCTTAGTTATGGAAATTTTATGAATGCATTGAATAAAAACAATCAACCTGTGAAAACATTAAGCTTATTTGAAGAAATGACAAGAAAATGTATCAAATTGGATGCAACGGTTTCTCTTTTCTTACTCAATGCGTGTGCTGCCATTGGAATTTATACAGTATCTCAATCGATATTCGAAGAAATCCCGAAATCATGTCTGAACGATGTTTATATAAAAAATGCATTGATTGATATGTGGGTAAGAGCACATTCATTAATGAAGCCACAATGAAAGAGAATCAAATATATTTTGAATTGCGTAGGGAAAATCGGGTTGTATTGGCAAAGCAAAGAATACATTCGAATCTTTGAGTCAACCGGAAACAGTTGGATATACATCAATGAGTTTGTTAAAGTTATTCTCCTGAACAATTAATAATATTATTATCAATAATTTCAGTTAACTCATACGGTTTGAATGGAATGGGCTTCGATGCAGTCAAGTTATTTTATCAAATGCCAGTGAATCTTATTCGCGATGAAACTTATGTATGCGTTTTAAACGCATGTTCACATGCTGGACTTGTTGAAGAGGCTCAAAAGATATTTGCAACAGTAGAAAAGAAAACAGAAGAAATTTGCACGATTATGGTCAGAGAAATTAAATTTCGTTGTTGTTTTCATTTGAGTCAGTTTGAAATTATTTTAGGTCGATTGTTTTAGTCGCTTGTCACTTTTCACAGAAGCAAAAGAGATTATTGACACTTACGAATCGAATCATGCGCCGTCACCAGGAATGCTTAGTACGTTCGTTTATGTCGATAGAAATCTGAATTCTCTCATGGTACAGATATTTGTTCTTTCTAGTGGCGTTATTGTCTGGCGCTCGAAATGCGAAGAACTTAGATTTAGCAGAAAAAACTTTTCATCGTATCCAGAAACATTTCCCTCAACTAAAACATCGAATAGTTGCTGCGTCTGTTTTACTTGCAAATGCCGATGCATCGATAGGTCAGATAGATAATTCATTTAATCCAAAACAAAACAATTGACTCAGTCTGGTTTGAAGAAAACAAGTGGAATTTCTTATACTGAAGTTAATGGCAAGATATATGTAAACAATTCTACTGAGAGAACTCATTTTAAATTTATATCGATAGGTATTTCGTGCTCACGATTCATCGCATCCTCAGTCAAAGGAAATCAATCAAGAACTCACTTCGCACGGTCATGATTACGATTCGAGTTGGATCACACGTTCGTTAAATTCAGATGAAACTATTGAATCAGTTCTGTGTGGCCACAGTGAAAGGCTCACAATCGCTTGGAACTTTGTCGTCCATCCCAATGCATCACGAATTCAAATTACAAAAAATCTTCGTGTCTGCGGTGATTGTCGTATGCTAAAATATTTTCCTTTGAAAGCTGATCTTTTTTCTTTTTTTTAATGTATAGATCGAGCAACAAAATTGATTGCAAGTATCCGACAATGTGAAATAATTGTTCGCGACGCAAATCGTATTCATCATTTCTATCGAAATGGGCAATGCTCATGTAACGATCATTTCTAACAAATAAATTATCAGCTTCCTTGCTTGTGTGTCCGCAATTCATTGATTAGTGAAAAGTGAAATCGAATTAAAAAGCATTTGTTCATATAAAAGCTCGAATTTTATGCTGTTTATTGCAAAATTACACGTTGAGCGTACTTAGTGCTAGTTAAGAAATATTCAATTTTTGTGAAACACAATCTGAAGGGAGTGTTGAAGGTTTAGGGGTAGAAATTTGGGCCTCTCCTCCCACGGACCGTGACCGACCCGTAGCAAAGGCATGACAGACGTGACCATACGTGCGTTTGGTATCAGACTTCTCTTACGTGCGATATCCTAACTACCTATTCGAGTATTTCTTGGCCTGATTCGCTTGTAAAGTTTTCTAAGTGTAAATCGATGCGCTCTACAACTTTGTGTAACAACACTTTTTTGCCAGACCCTTCCTTCCCATTGAAAAATGGCAAAAACCGATCCAAACACTCCAAAATCGTAGTAATCCTTAGTCGGATTCGCTTGAGAATGAGAATGTGAAGATGGATAACTAAATAAAACATTCTCATCCTCAAAATACAATAAAATGTAACAGTTTCAATTAAATTTTATAAAATTTTCAAAAGTATAAATAAAATCTTGAATAATTTATCATATTTTTGATTTTAATCTGCTTGATGGTCAGCATGAAAATAATACAATTTATTTGTATTGTTTCATTTGCGAGTGAGATTTATTCTTTATCATCCATTGAATTAATTTATTTTGAAAACGAACGTGCGGAGCCAATTAATTGATTGATCAGTCTATGCTTTCTTTCGTTTTTTGTTTCTTTCATTTGGAAAATAATTTTTATCCCAAGTCATTCAGTAAACATTTCGAACGAAACCGAATTAAGTTTGTCTGAGTTCGTTATCATAAATTATTAATACGATCTTTTTTCTCTAGTTTTACAACGCTTGGAAAACGAATATTTAGATCGAGGCTATTTCAAAATGGTGCGGAAATTTTGTTCATAGATTTTTCTTTTCTCTTTATCCGTTTTCACTGAGACTTCACCATCATCATTCATTCTCGAAGTAAAATCAGCTACATATTTGTCTTTTTTATGATGATTTTCGTTGTTCTGTGTTTGTGTCAATTATTCTAAATCTTTACTGGAGAATCAATATGATTTATATAGTGATGTCAATGAAGAAAAACTATTTTATATTTTGTTAAACATGAGCAAAGATGAAACATATTATTTTGATTATATGCGTGATGAAACTTTCGAGATTTTCATTAAAAAGCGATCTTTGAAACAAATGAAAAAAGAAGATTTGAAAAGTGTTCGTATAATTTACAACATTATTTCTATTATTACTTCATTATTACCTTTGATCATCTATGGTGGATCGAAACTGATTACATTTACTTGTACATGATTTATTGCTATTTCTATTTATATCGAGAGAATGTTTTGGATGTTATCATCTTCGAAGTTATCATTGTTTTCACATCATTCCTAGTACTTGGAAAATGTTGTTATACAAATTCAGTTGTTCAAGAAAAGAAAAGACGATGAGGTTGTTTTATTTGTTTCTGATAAAAATTTTAGATTTATTCAGAATTCTTCTTCGTATTATCCATTAATGCCGTCTTATTCTGATTTCAATCATAATCAATTCGTCATTTTTTGTAAAATTTGGATTAAAAATTTCTTTCGAATCTTTTGAATTTTATTCAAACATTGATTAGTTCATATTTGAATTCAAATTTAGAATGAAATCTCTTCTATTAAGAATCCTAAAGCACAACTCAATCGAAGTCGACGAAGAATAATTTGTTTAAATTTTATTTTATTGAATTATGAAAAAATTTGTTAAACAATTTTTTCATTCAATTTATCTTTGAAAATCTCATAGATTTTATTTTCCTTCGAATGTTCTTCTCGTTATTTGTTCTTTGCATTTATGCTGGATTCTTTCTTCCAAATCAATCGAATGTCTCTTATACTTTATTCATCGATTGGTCTATCGTTATTTTTACAATTTATCTCTTAATCAAAGTATTTTCAACGTTAATTATCATCGAACATTATCAATTAATGAATCTTGAAATAATAATTAATCATATTTTCTTTGTTTTCTTTTTCGATGAAAAAATAATGAATTTCTGAGAGTGAGATGAGTACATCACGCTCACCATCAGCTTGATGTCTATTTTCAACCAGACATTTATCGTGGACCTTACCGTTACTCTCAGTAATACTCTGATCAACACTTTATGCCTTGTATCCACACTCTCACCCTCAAGAGATAGTCCTTTTGACATCACCATCTGTCGTGTTGATGTTGCTATTCGTCACACGGAAAGAACCAGTCGTTCAGTACACATATCGAAGGAAGAAACATTATATAATCACTTGATTTGTCTGGTGTAAAATTGGAATTCGTAAACTATAAATACAACAAATTTAATCTGTTAATCGTTTCCATTCATCTTTCAAATAAATGCCTGAACTACCCGGTAAGAAAACAATCAATACGAGATAGAGTTTGAAGTGAAAGTATTCGTTGTATTGTTTTAGAAGTAGAATACGCTCGTCGATTATTGGCTCGATTTTTAACTCATACACATATTACTAAAGTTTCATATCCAGATGCTGATGGCCTGGCGAAGCGTTTCTTGAATTGCACACCAAATTCATTTGCCGATGGATTAGTTAACCGTAAGATTTTGGATATTAAACGGCACGGTAAATATCTATGGTTTGAGATGGCTGACCAGAAACCTTTGACACCAATCTTTCATTTTGGAATGTCTGGAGGTTTTCGAATCAAATCAGCACCTGATGTGACTTATTTGAAAGAGCTTGAACATGTGAAAAGAAAAGCGAAAAACGAAGTTGATGGACAATGCGAGTCTTTTGTTTATGGTAAATATCTGTCAGTCAGTACATGAGTGTAACACAGAGTAATTTAGATGACGAACTAGACGCTGACTTAACATGGCCGCCTCGTTTTACACGTATTCGATTTTTGACGTCAACAGGTCACGATGTGTGCTATACAGATCTTCGTAAATTTGGACGTTTTCATTTAATTGATTCGAACGAACCTCTTTCATGCCTTCCTTTATCAAAATTAGGCTTCGATCCTTACCTTGAAATGCCAAAACTTGATGATTTCAAAGATTTAATCAACTCGTACCGATCGAAATCCATCGAACTTAAAGCATTATTACTTGACCAAGCATTTTGTGCTGGAATTGGCAATTGGATAGCTGATGAAATACTCTATCAGTCACATTTGCATCCACGTAAACGATTGAATACATTGACGGACGATCAACTGAAGAGTTTGCACAAAAACATCGACTATGTCATTCGCACAGCAGTTGATGCAGGTGGGAGTCATAAATTTCCACCGGAATGGCTGTTTCATTTTCGATGGACGAACAAACGGGAAACAGAAGATTATTATAAACTAAAAATTCAATTTGATACCGTCGGTGGACGAACATCAGCTTATGTACCGAAAAGACAACTCTTATCCGATGATGAACAACATCAAGTGGATGTTCGATTGGCTGCACGTGATGCCAAACGAGCCAGTAAGAAGAAAATAGCTAAAAATGATGACAATACCAGTGACGACCAGGAGAATGGTGACATGATTTTAATAAGAAAATTTCTCATCTATACGTTACTTACTATATTTTAGAGAACTCAGTTACTGTAGTACGTTCAAAAGGGTTACGAAAAAAACGAAGTAAACAAGAAATGATCGAAAGTGGTAAAGATAGCTGCTTCTATTTCGACGAAAGCCACTAGTTTTGTTCTAGACTTCGAAGAAGAAGAAAAAGAGGAAAATGCCGAAGACGAACCAGCACCGACCCCACCTCGAAAAAAGAAATTATCATCTGAACCTGTGGCTAATATATCGAATCGACCACAACGATCATGTAGACAGAAAACGATCAATTATCATGTGTGATACAGTTTTTCTTTTTTAATTCTTAAGATTATTTTTTGTACATTACCTGCTTAGTCTCGATATATCAATAAAATATTCCAGATATTTGAAAACAGCGAAAAATTCATACCTGATGATCTTTCTATTGGTTTGTGAGTATGGTGAGAGATAATACAACACTTGTATATAGTGACATCTTATATCTTATACTGCATAGATATTTTGCTAGCACTACCATCGTGTCTGTTCTGTCAACCTCTTATTCTACTACTAAGTTCTGTCTCTTTTGTTCGCAGGTCTACCTATACGTCGACCGCTCGTCCGTCCGTCTATACTCTTTCTCTCACTCACCGATAATCTTACTAATGTTAATAATTGTTCGAACTCGACTACCTTTCTTTCATTTCTAGATCTCATCCCATCTTATCTCTTCAATAAACGAGAAATATGGTACAAAATAGTCCCACCCCATTTGATGTAAGAAATCTTCCTTTTATTTCAAACACATACTCTATAATCTCGTTGAATTAGGTGGGCCGTGCATTTGTTCACCAGTATTATACACTACTACATCAAGCGCCTCATATGCTTCATCGGTAATTATCATTGATAGCGTTTTTTTTCCGGCAATTTCGATTCATTTTATGCCCTCTCGGTTAACAGATTCTATTCTACGGACAGCACATTCATACACGGTGGTGTTGATCGACCAGGTTGCGTTGAACAACCAGCAGTTGGTCCTGAAAATATTTCTCAACGTATCAATGATTTGAATTTACGGGAGTGCCATGCGAAAATTCGTCAGGTCGATTCGCATCCAACTATTGGTGATGGGGTTGTCGTCCAGGTAAATTGTTCTTGACTTATCTGAAAAGAATTGATTACGAAACAAATTTTCTTTCTAGGTTACTGGTGAATTGTCGAATAATGGTGATCCAATGCGTCGTTTCATGCAAACATTCGTATTGGCTCCACGACAACCAAAAAAATACTACGTCCAAAATGATATCTTTCGTTACCAGGATGAAGTATTCGACGATGGATCGGATGAAGTCGACGAAGATGATCGATCAGGCTCACATATATACGGTGATGCAATTTCAAATGCGGTAAACAATGGACGGACCAGAATTATTCCATATGACTTTATGTATACGATCTCTTAGGACAAAACTTCAAATGCTGATTCTTCGGTGGCACCTGTTCAGCAACCTTTACTTGTAACAGCCAATGCACGACCACCAGTGGAAGATCATCAACCACTACCACCTCGCGGAGCTAGTTCAACACATGGAACTAATCAACAACAACAGAACATTCCAAATCAGGCTAGTGTTCGTCAACAAGAACATCAACATGTTGGTTCAACAAACTTGTACGTTTCTTTATTCAACGAGTTATTTCAAATTGAACGGTTTTTTCCTTTAGGAATGGCTTCTCGAACGCAGGTGAAACAAATAGTTATGGTGGACTTGGCCATACGCATATTCAACCGCAACAGCAAGAAGCTACACAGCCTAGCCCACAGTCACTAAACAATCAAGTTACTCAGGAAACTCAAGAACCAACCAACGGAACAAACGGTTCAAACCAACAACAGGTCAAGCAAACGCAACCAACTTCAACAACCGAAGGGAAAAAAGTTGAAGGAAGTAAGATGAGATGACTGATAGATCCTCTGTACACATATCAACTAAACTTGACTCACTTAGAATCATATGCTGGCATTGCTAAATTACATCAACCAGCTGGTGCTCCTACAAATGTTAGTGCATCAGTAACACCAACTGTACGCAGTGTTGCGAATCCGCCTAGCGCGCCGTTAAGCAATTCACAACAACCAAATACAATCCGTCCGCAAACGAAAGCACAACCAACCACAAACAATCGACCAACTAGCAGTGCTCAACTGGGTCAACGACAATACCCACAACAACGAGGTAATACTAATTACTATGAACAAACTAATCGTGGTAATTGTTGAATAACATATCTTAATCGTTATATTTCACTCTTTTTCTTTAGGTACAAATGTCGCTACAGCACCCAATGAACAACAGGTCTTCGTTGGCTCATTACCATTGGATTTCACAGAAAAAACCTTAATTGAATGCTTTTCAGAATATGGTAATGTTATTGATGCCAAAATCTACACGCCACTTCATGATAACAAGAAGGTTCGTCCAAATAGATCATCTCATTCTATTCTATTTCGTTTTGTGTTATCAAAATAGAACTTCGGATTTATCGTTTTTGATAATCCAGAAAGTGCAGCAGCACTTGTTACCAAGGAACATATCATGTACAATGGTACAATTCGTTTGAATGTTGAACCGAAAACACAGCGAAATTATCCGTCAAATAATAACAATACAGGCAGTAACGTAAACAATGCTGCTCAAGGTGGTAACCGTAATAGTAACTACTCAGGAAGGGGTGGTGCTCGAGGAGGTAATCGAACATCTTATCGTGGAGGTAGCAATAGTTCACGACGTGGTGGTAGTGGTGGTCAATTCAATAATAATTCGTCATCGTTCACCACAAGTGATGAGAATAACAATGACTACCGAATTAGCAAATCGCAACCACAACAACAACCGATATAACAAAAGTAATGAACTGGTGGGGATGAACGTCTGATCTCTTTCTCTTTTTTTTTTCTTTATCCTTTCATTTTCTTTTCTGTTTCGTGACCGCAAGTTTCTTGCATTCAAAACCTTTTTTTTTCTTACACATACCATGATAGTGAACAGTTCTGATGGATGGACGATCTTCTCTTTCATACACACACTTTTTTCTTTATCACTTTCTTTGTTCTTTATTGTTACCGTTCTCTTGTTTTATACGAATTTCATATTTTGTTGGCTATCCGACACAGATTTGATGAAATGAGCGCGAGAACATCTTCGATTACACACACACAAAACCACAATTGCTGTCTTTCAATATCATCTATTACTTTTCGGTAATCTCAACTACTCCTTTCTTTTCTTTCTGCTCGCTCGCTTGTTTGTTTGTTTGTTTGTTCATTCATTGTTAAAATGCTGTCTTTTTCTTCAGATTGTTGTCATATTTCTGTTTTCTTTTTCTACACATCAAACTCTCAGACATGCATATGCACACATATCTTGAACGATATGAAAAGGCAGATAGATGAGAACGACAGACAGTTAAGTGCGAATAAAATGATGAACGTAAGGAGACGTCTATGTATGCTCAATTTAATGTTTTTCTTCTATGTGGCATAATTCAAATATCCTTCAAAAGTTCACTTCTTCCCGAAGAAAAAAAAAATTTTGTCTATTCATTGCTTCGATGCTAATTCACGTTCGATTTCAAGTGCTGGTTCGACGGCTTTCAAAATTGTTTCTTGTAGCTCATCTCCTGTGGGTAAGAGTGGTGCACGTGGAAGACCACCATAGCCCAAGACTTTCTGCATTATTGCTTTCACGGCAGAGATACCATTCAGCCGGAAAAGAGTATGATCAGGACCGATAATTCGACGTTGAATGCGTTGAATTTCTTCCCACTTATCTTGTGAATGGTTTCTGTACAAGTTAAAAAGATGAACAAGAACTCGTGGAGCAACATTTGCGAAACCAGGAACACATCCTTGTGCTCCAATTGTTAGGAACGGCACGAAACTATCAGCTGAGCCACTCATCAACGTGAACTGTTTGGAATCGGTGTGTTCACACACATAGCCAGCCTTTCCTACATTTCCATCGGTGCATTTCATACCGACAATGTTCGGGTGAGAAGCTAACTTGACGATGGTTTCTTGTGGAGTGTCCATTTGCTGTGTCACACCTGGAAAGTTGTAGATTACAACGGGAATCACAGCTTTGTCAGCAACTTTCGTATAGAAGGAGACGAGAACATCCGATCGGTTGACTGTCCAGCTAAGAAAATACGAAGGCGGTAGAACCATAGCGTATTCAGCACCTGCTTCGGCTGCTTGCTTGATGAGGTGAAGTGTGCCGCGAACTGACTCGTGTGAACAGCCAGCGATTAGTTTCGCTTTGGACGATGATTCGTCGATAGCTTTGCGTGCAGTTCGGATGACCAGTTGTCTTTCATCTTCATTGAGATGTACTGCTTCGCCTGTTGAACCCATACAAACGACACCATGAACACCAGCTGAGCAGAGGAACTGGACGTGTCGAGCAACAGTATCGACATCGACTGGTTGTTCGTCAGCGGGTGTGTCGAGAAAGAATGTTGGAATGGGAACATAGATGCCGGGTGGAAGTGCAACTGAAGTCATTTTTTATCGTAAGGTTTATGATGCAGTTTGTTAAAGAATTTAGTTGAGATTGGAAGCTAATTATATAAGCAACAAAATAATATCTAAATCTATGGTTTTTATGTTTCAAAGAGAGAAAAGAGAATCTATAATCGTGTACAAAAATAGTTTGAAATTTCGAAAGATCATTGAGAATTCTATAAAATACAAAAGAAAAGTTTTAACGATTGATCGTATGTTTTTGTTTTGATGAAAGATATAAAATGATAAAGAAAAATTTTGTTTTATTACCATAGGTTATATTGATTCTGATTCTCTTCAATGCGAGGATATACGAGACATTGAAATTTTCTGCAGAGAGAAAAGAAAGATTAATCTTTTTTTAATTCAATACATTTATTCAAGCGGCGGGGCATGCGGGAGATTGAAAAATTAGGAAAAAAAGACGATTTTATTTTTCGATCGAAAGATTTTTTCATTTCGGGGATATAGAAGTTGTAGACAGAGAAAAGAAACAAATAGTTTTATTTGCGTTAAACAAATATATTTTTTTCGAGCAGCGGAATATGCAGGACATTGAAAAATTACAAAAAACAGACGATTTTATTTTTCGATCGAAAGATTTTTTCATTTCGGGGATACAGAAGTCGTAGAGAGAGGAAAAAATAGATATATTTTTTTTCTACTCAGTTCTGTTTCATCTTACTTTTGTCTTTTCTATTCTTTTTCGCGCACTCTAAACTCAACTAAATTCTCATGTTAACTGTGATATTTATGGTACTAACGATCAATAAACTCCTTGAATAATTTGAGAACATGGAGGGTTAAGATCTGTTATCTTATCTTTTTGTCTCTCTGTCTTATCTGATACCGTTTGGCCAATACTGCGCTAATGATACATTTGCCTAGTCGCTTTCGCTCCGAAATATTTTGCGATGTAAGCGGATTTCAACCGATGTCTTTTATTTTTGCATAGATATTTTTTCATAAAAATTCACGTGTTGATTGTTGATATATATGGAAAGTAGTATGTAGATGAATTCTACGTTAATTTATTTGATTCAATGTGCTTTGTAAGATGTAAATATCAATCAGTAAAAAGAGTTGCGTATAAATAAAAAAGAAAAAACTAATAGATATCGTTCTATAACTCTAAAAATATGTTCACCAATCTACTTCTTTTATGCTTTTGAAGCTAATTCACGTTCGATTTCAAGTGCTGGTTCGATGGCTTTGACAATGCTCTCTTGTTGTTCTGTTGATGTTGGCACTAGCGGTGCACGAGGGAGACCACCATAGCCCAAGACTTTTTGCATAGTTGCCTTCAAACCGGATATTCCATTCCATCGAAAGAAAGCATGATCAGGACCGATAATTCGACGTTGAATGCGTTGAATTTCTTCCCACTTATCTTGTGAATGGTTTCTGTACAAGTTAAAAAGATGAACAAGAACTCGTGGAGCAACATTTGCGAAACCAGGAACACATCCTTGTGCTCCAATTGTTAGGAACGGCACGAAACTATCAGCTGAGCCACTCATCAACGTGAACTGTTTGGAATCGGTGTGTTCACACACATAGCCAGCCTTTCCTACATTTCCATCGGTGCATTTCATACCGACAATGTTCGGGTGAGAAGCTAACTTGACGATGGTTTCTTGTGGAGTGTCCATTTGCTGTGTCACACCTGGAAAGTTGTAGATTACAACGGGAATCACAGCTTTGTCAGCAACTTTCGTATAGAAGGAGACGAGAACATCCGATCGGTTGACTGTCCAGCTAAGAAAATACGAAGGCGGTAGAACCATAGCGTATTCAGCACCTGCTTCGGCTGCTTGCTTGATGAGGTGAAGTGTGCCGCGAACTGACTCGTGTGAACAGCCAGCGATTAGTTTCGCTTTGGACGATGATTCGTCGATAGCTTTGCGTGCAGTTCGGATGACCAGTTGTCTTTCATCTTCATTGAGATGTACTGCTTCGCCTGTTGAACCCATACAAACGACACCATGAACACCAGCTGAGCAGAGGAACTGGACGTGTCGAGCAACAGTATCGACATCGACTGGTTGTTCGTCAGCGGGTGTGTCGAGAAAAAACGTTGGGATGGGAACATAGATGCCGGGTGGAAGTGCAACTGAAGTCATGTTTTCTTTTGTGGTGATGATTCTTTATAATGATCGTCGAAATGACGGATGAAAGAAATAGAGAAGAATACACTTTTCTTTTTCTTTCTTTTTATCTTATCTTATCTTATCTGTTTGTGTGTTTAATAGACACCCCTATTCACCTTTAATTTTTACATGTACTTATGCGTTCTCACTAGAGGTCGTGATCATCATCGTGACTATTTCATAGTTCTTTGCATTTCTTTCATCAATGATTATAACAATTTGCAAATTTGAGTGGTTAGCTCTCTATTAAATATATGTAGAAGAAATTCAATTATGACTGTCTCATGATTGAATGCAAGCAAGCATCTCTAACGACAGTGTGAGCAAAATCAGAAATAGTTACATAGGAAGAAAATCGTTTAGGGAATAAGATCATAAAATACATTGATAATATATATATATATATGTAAGTACTGATGAGATGTCGCAGAATAACCAAAGCAGAAGAAGAAGAGAGAAGTAGACGATTACATACAAACTGAAACGTTGACTTAATTTGCTTATCATTACGCATAATCACAACAGAGCAGTGACTTAGTAAGATGGCAAGTAATTCTACACCTTCATCACTTTGGAATTTTCCGTTACCACTTATGATGACTTCTTCGTTGAATACTAATGAGCAACAACAATCGCACCAACAAGAGCAATCACCATCATCTGTTCATAGCATTGGTGAGCGGAAACAACGAACTCTACGATTATCCATAAATGCACGAGAACGTCGACGTATGCATGACTTAAACGATGCTCTTGATGAATTACGTTCAGTGGTTCGCTGAATTTCAATCGTGATGAATATTTTTTTGTAACACTTCGTTTACTCTAGATTCCGTACGCACATTCACCATCAGTACGAAAACTAAGTAAAATCTCAACATTATATTTAGGTGAGTTTATTTCAAGTATTTATACAAATGGTATCAATACAAAAAAAGTGCACACATTTTTCAGCTAAAAACTTCATTCTTCTACAAGCACAAGCCATTGACGAACTGAAAAAATGTGTTCTTCGAGCAAGCTTTATGAACAGTCAACCTGGAACTATTCTATCTCAACCCACAACTATGGATTACAATACAACAGATCAGGCAAATGATGGATAACTTGTAAAACATATGTCAAATACGAATGTAAAAGTTCTCTCAGTTCACCTAATATTATCTTTGCTTTTTTTTTCTTTGTCATAAGTATATTCTTCGTTCAGTGTCTATTTCAATTGATTTGCTCCCATGGAATGTTTTCTCTTCCCACACATCGACCGTCTCCCATTTAAACCGATTAACACATTCTATTGTCATGTTATTACTATTAATGTGGTAGTCAACATTCAATACGGTAATCTCGCACTCACTGCCATGAATATGAGCATAGCGTGATGTATTCTATGATTATTGAATCAAATGGAGCATAATGATCGTCTGCTAATAAATCCCTTGTTCATTTCTGATTTCCTCTTTTGTTTAATAAATTCATGAATAAAAGCTTGCGTGTCTTGACCTATTCTGCTGATTGAGTCAAATGTCAAATGAAGAAACAACTGTTTTGCTTTCTTTTCCCGAGCAGACAGATCAATTGGAATCTAGTTCTATATGGTTTACTACGAACAGATTAAATGTCTTTCTTCGATCCTGAATCATCAATCTCAATTTATACAGAATCATAGAGCGTTGTATTTCAAAAGCGATTACACCCTTCATTGATTCCTAACTATTGAGCAAAAGATAATTATGTGCAGAAGTAAATAATCCATTACAAAGAAATGAGAGAAATATTCTTCGCTTACAATTTCTTCATAAAATCGAAAACGAGAATAAGAGACAACTCATTATCATTTTAATGATATTGTATAAACGATTATTGATGATTATATCTCATATTCTGTTAATCTCATTCTGATTTATTAATGAGAACAAAAATCTATTTTGTCATTCGAGGCAATTCGATATCTGTTTTCTAACATGATTTTACTCGGCTACGCTATTTTAGTGCGATTCTGCGAGAAGAAAGCATACGATTTATATTTTATTTTCTTCTCCATGCAACTGCAAAAATCAGTTTGGACTGAATTAATGTCAACTGAAGAAAATCGCTTCATTTCAATTGTATCTTAGCATGCTTTGACGGTCACTATCGTTCATGTTTCTCACCTTCACTCTGATGTAACTTGACTGCGATCATTTCATCTTGTTATGTAATGGATTAGATACTCTTGCGGACGATCGATCAATCGCTAATACCGATAAGGTTCTGTTTCTATGAAAATAAAAAGCGCACATAGTGGGTTGAGTTTTGTGCAATTGATTTTGTTCATGTTTTATTTTGCCATTAGTTGGCGCGTTTCGAATGATTCGCTAGCGGAAAAATAAGATTTGCACTTGTTCTGTAAAAAAAAAACGACTATAAAATTTGTCAATTGATGAAGCGAACATCTTGACAATGGTAGATGATTGAATAAATAAATAAATAAATATTTCATATGTGCGTGTGCTGTATTATTGTTTTGCTTGTTCTTTTGATGATAGGGAAGGTTTTCTATGAAAAGTAACAATGACGACAAAGAAAGGAAAAAGAAAAAGAAGAAAAGAAAAGAAGACAGACGATGATAATTGAGCTGAAAGAAAAAAAAGAATGATACTGAAGCACACACACATAAAATGTACAAGAAAATAAAAGAGCAACGACAATTACAACGCGCGGAAAAAAAGTAAATCGATCTGAGACAGAGAATAAGTTATACTTCTTTGGTCTATCATCTGCCGTAGAAATAAATATATTTATATATGTGTGTATGTATATATCAAATCTTAACATTGACATTTGGAGTCTCCACTTTGTCCGATACCATCTGCACCTCCTACTCCGTTTGCTGTTCGTGATGAAGTCAATGGTTTGGGTTTGACACCTGATTCGGCTGCATTCAAGTCGAGCGAACCATCTTGAATGTTCTGATAGATTTTTTTTGCGGTTTCGATAAATGCATCTTCAACGCGATCTCCTGTTTTGGCTGACGTTTCAAGAAATAATAAGTCATTTTCTTCAGCAAATCTTTTAGCTTCATCGTATGTCACTTCTCGTTGACCATCTAAATCACCTTTGTTACCTACGAAGACAATTACCACGTTTGAGAACTGTTTTATTGTGAGAAAAAAAGCTTTCTACTTACCAATAAGGAAAATTACTGTATTGGGATTAGTTAAACTTCTTGCATCAGTAAGCCATCCACTCAAATGATTATAAGTGGCACGCCGAGTTATATCGTAGACCATTAAAGCGCCAGCTGCTCCACGATAATACGATCCTAAACAGAAATCATTTGCATTTGTTCTGTTTTTATTTAAAATGAAGATAACGCACTTGTCACTGCACGGAAACGCTCTTGACCAGCAGTGTCCCTACAATGAAAGCAAACGAGTAGTTATTTTCTGAGAAAAATATTCGAAATTTATTTACCATATTTGTAATTTGATTTTTTGTCCGTTAACTTCAATTATACGTGTGCCAAATTCAACACCGATCGTATGTGGACAATCAGCCATGAACTAAATAGGGAGATATGCTATGAAAGCGACTGAGTGGACTTTCATCTTTAAGCAAACTTTTTTTTCAGTAAATTGATGAAGAAGACAACTCTTTCCTACACCCATATCACCGATGATAATGTATTTAAATATATATGAATAGTTATACGGGCCCTGATTCGCCATGGCACCGTGTATGTGTTCTATCTATTTGTTGAAAAAAAAATTGTGAAAAGATACAAAATGATAATAAAAATATCCAAAAAACACACACGCACACACACATAGAAAATAAAGAGATAAACGATCCATTGATTCCAAGTATTCTATCTATTCGTCATTAAACACCATTACGTGCCACTATCAAGACGAGCGGAAAACAACTGATCGTACCATAGGAGACTAGCGACACCTAACCGAGTTACTGTTGAAGCTATTTGTTTTAATAAAATCTTTATTTATTAACGGAATAGAACTTCGCATGCATTTACTACAATCAATAGGAATTATTTGAAAAGTTATTGCCCATTTTGTTGCGCAACGGATGAATCCTGTTGCTTTTGAGCAGACTCATCTTGATGTTCATCGAGTATAGGAATCTGCTCATTGCGGAATGCTTCGAAAAAGAGTCGATGATCGCGTCGAGTAGCATTACCATATGCCTAAAACAGACGAAAACGCGTGAAAGAAACGAACTGTTCGTATGAAATCGATTTTACCATTCCGAATGAGACCATATCTTTAACAAATTCTTCATCGCGTCCTGCAATTGCATCGCGAATAGCTACTTCCGAATGTCTCGGTATGATACCAAAAGGTATCAAATCTGTATGCTGTGCTCCATGTTTCTCTTTATCAATCGAATCCACGTCAGCAACGCAATGAATTTTGGCTATGAAAAGATAATACATATGATCATTCAACTAAGCAAAATTTCGATTTTCTCAAACGAACCCATTGCTTTTCCTAAGATCTCTGCTGTTTGTCGAATTTCTTCCAAATCATTAATATCTGTCCAATCGAGATCTTTACTATGCGTTGCAATTTCATCGACAAACAATGGTACCTCATTGTTTAATGTTGAATAGCCTAACCATCGTGTTGTCACGGCATGCATTGCGTATGCGCAAAGAACCGTTCGAAGACCGTCATGTTTAAAATATTGTTCTAAATCTGGATTGTTGATAACAGTGGCCACAGCTGATTTTGTTGCTGGTTTCATATATATAACAACATCAGTTTCTAACGCTTCAGTTCGTCCTTCTATTAGAACATTGTAAGATATCGCGCCTGCAGAACCAATTCCCGGCGAAGAACGTGCAACAATATCTTTAACCTAAAACCAAGAATTGACTAGTGTTGAGATAATTTCGAGAATAACTCACTCGGTATGTCATTGTTGATTCTCTTTTACTTTCCGGTATTGTCCGTACATAGTCTTGAAAAGCAAGTAATATCTGATGACGTAAAGTATCATCAACATCTTTAACAATCGTTGAACGAATAAATTTCCGTTGATAATCTTCAATATATGTCATCGTGTCTAAATGATCTTCTTTCGAACCTAAACGTGATTCTTTGATCAAGATATTTACTGGTCCTTCCGTATTCTCGTGTGTTATCAGAACAAGGTGCTGTTCCGGCGAGTCACAAAAACCATAGATCTGTTTTAAATAAGAACGAACAACAGTTTCAAGGACTTTCTCGATTTTGGCATCGCAGTATGCTTTAGCAAACATGATCAAATTTAAACTTGCAAGTAAACGCTTTATATCCCATGTAAATGGACCTATGTAGCCCTAAACAATCACAAAATAACGACCCAAACAATTCACATGAATTACTTCATCAAAATCATTGACATCGAAGTTAATTCGACCGAAACGATCAATATACGTGCCGAAGTTCTCCGCATGAAGATCACCCTAATAGAAAGCAATGAATTTATATATAGATCGGAAATGCTTTTCTTGAGTTCTTACATGAATGAAGATATTCAATGCAGATTTATTATTCTTCAACCAGACATCCTCAGAAACATTTTGTAGAAGATCACGATAAAAAAGTACCGCTGAACCGCGATAAAATGCAAACTCGTCCGATGCCATCTTACGAAAACGCCCACGCCATCCTTTCGGGTTTTTACTCATACCGTCGCCAAAATTCGTCACGAATGTATTGAGAATAAATTTAATTCTTTCTCGATCGCTATCTTGTTGAACGTCATTCAGCGTGTTATGATGAGACGTTGGAGGATGATGAGGACGTTGAGAATTAACTGTCGACGATGGTCCACTCATTTTATGATCAGAATTTGTTTTTAGTAATCGCTGATCTGGTTTTTTCTCACACTGTTTATATAAGCTCGATAACAATAGTGATCGCTTGTTTTGTTTTCGGATACAAAAAAGAAAGGCAATCAAGCATGATGTTTATTCTTTATTCAATAAGGTGGGGAAGTACAACGATTCATTCACGACCTTCGGATTTGTGCACGAAAATATATTTTTAGAAGATGTTGCCGTCATCAATAAAGAAAGGAGTTCTTTCGTCACCAAAGTGATCAAAGGATAAATAAATGTCAATAGTGAAAGTACGCACTTGTGAACTCTAAACTTGACGGGGAACAGCAGACCATCTTAAAGAACAAACGTGAATCTCATGCTATTTCTAGCCTGAATTTTTTCCGACCTTTCAAGAAATTAAAAAATGTCATACTACTTATGAAATTTAACAATTATGGTTATTAATCTTGCGATGGAAACAACATTACAAGAAACTTAAGGTGTACACTTCTGGATTTCAGAGCTTTGGCTTTAGCTCGAGTTTTCTTCTAAATTTCTATACAGTTAATCACCATTTTTCAACAAACACTAATAAATTATTGATTTATTTCGTAGATTATGCTATTGGTAGGAATGATTAATAATGAGTGTTGTCGGTTGCCAGCTGAAAAAATTTTACGCTTCCACTAATTTTCGAAAAAATCGGATTCAAAATTGAATAGATATATGTTTGAAAAATTCACGTGATCTTTTACAAATCAATACATTTGCGTTTTCTTGACATTGACTTAATCATCGAACTGCACATGGCACTTTCCTTTCAATTTGTGACTTAAAAACGCAGAATTAATTTGCTTTAGTGAACATAAAAAACTTCTTTGGGAGACTAGCGCTTGAAAGTTGTATTTCTCAGGCTGCTGAGAAAAAGAAGGAACCATTTGCATTTTAAATTTGACTTCCATGGCAAGGATTGCGTTTTTACTTATTATCACCATCAGTATGCAATTTGCACCGATGGCTATTCGAATTGGGCGAGTTTCAAATGCTTCTCTCAATGTACAAAATAGTTCATATTTGTTATATACACAATTGAATATCAATCAATGTATATGCACTGCAATCGTATGATATAATTCTACATTACTTGCTTTGAATTATTTTTCCTCGAATCAATCTTGTCAAGTTATCCTTCTGCCGATTTCTTCGTATGAGATAGTGTCTTCTGCAAATTCAAATTTAATCATATTTCAAACACTACCTAATCGATGTTGTTCTGATTTATCATTCGTTTTAAAAAGTATCGAACTTGCCACACAGTCAACATCAATATCGATCACCCAACCAGTATTTTTTTCGATTAACCCAGCAAATAATCTCTTTTCCGTTATGTCTTACCGTGGCTCACGAACGTTATTCAATCGTAGCAATCTAAATGTTAGTATTAGCGTCACATCAGTTGGTTCTCAATGTGCCATTGCAGCACAAAGTGAAAATCTCTTCGTATCGAGTTTGTATTCTAATCAATGGCGTATCTGAGTAAATACGGAAAATGTTATTCTAGGCTGTGATAGTCCACGTTCTATTCGAATTTACAATGATACAATCTATGGTTCTCAATTGTTATATGTTCTCAATGTAACGTACTACGTTCGACAAGTAGTTTTTATTCGAAACTACACATGGCTATTGGTCATTAATCAATATTTGAATTTCATCGAATTCTATTCAATGAATTTACAAACGAATACGTTCATATATAATTATTCCGTTCCAGTTCCATACCCGATTCCCTGGTCTTTAACAAAGTAAAATGATACATTGATATATTTATGTTTTTGGACGTCTGGAATACCTGTTCATATCCTTTCGTTGAACAATTCAGTATGGACAGTTTCAAATTTGGCATTAACCAAGCCCTCTAGTTCGCAAATAGTCGCCCAAGTAGCTTTCGATTCTTGTAATCGTCTCTGGACGGTTGTCTATGGCTATGGAATCAAAATTTACGATCTCATGGGGCAAACTCTACTTGCCAGTTGGTCATCAGTATCAACTACACTTGATACACTATTAATACTTGATAATTACGAGATATTCTTGGGTGATTATGACAATAATTATATTCTACACTACACTCCTAATTTGCAGTGCGCATTGTAATTTTAAGACGCCAAATCCAAAGTTCTTTTGAATTTTTTGCACTAGTATACATTTCGATTTTTATTCATTCAATAAAATAATATTTATTTCATGTATGCCTAAATTGATTTTTGAAAAAGAAATGAGTGGATTGGTTATAATACGATCCACTACAAGCTTTGGTAAAAACTTCTTCTAATACGAAGAAAAAAATATTATAATGTCATGTCATAAAAAGAAAACAATCTGATATGATAGACATGACACGATTCCGCAATAGTTTCTTTTTTTACTGTAGGTAGTAATCACTGAAAAAGATCTCGAATGGCTGATGACTGTTATTCTACTCGACTTGACATTCCGCTGTCGACTGTTCTTATAACAGGTGGTTCCAGTGGTATTGGTTTTGGTCTCGCACGATGTTTTGTGGAAGAAGGCGCGACAGTCATCATCACTGGTCGTCGCGAAGAACAGCTAAAATCAGCTGCAGAGGAATTAAACCGTCTTGGAAAGAAACCAGTTCACTATCGAATAAATGATGTTGAAAGAATTGATGAAAGATTAGCTCTGTATGACTGGATCGTCTGTAAACATCCTGAAACAAATATTTTAATAAATAATGCAGGTGTTCAACAACGTCATCCATTCATTCCAGATGGAAACTTGGCTGAAAATATCCCATGGGAAGAGCGTGAAAAAGAAATTCAAATAAATATTTGCGCACCTATGCATTTATCTCAATTATTCATAGCACATTTTCGTCAAATGAACACAACGACAGCCATTATGAATGTTTCATCAGGTTTAGCATTCATACCATTAGCGAGCATTCCAGTTTACAGCGCAACGAAAGCTGCTATACACTCGTTCACAATGAGCATCCGATATCAACTGATGGATGAAGTGAAAAATCTTCAAGTGTACGAGATCGTACCACCTGCTGTTCAAACAAATCTCGGAGGTAGCCATGCATTTGGCGAACCACTCGATAAGTACTGCCAAGCAACATTTGAACGAATTAAAAAGGGCGAACAAGAAATTGGATACGGTCGTTCCGATCAAGCAAGAAAAATGGCATCACGTGAAGAGTCTGACAAGCAATTTCTCGCTTTAAATGAGAATATCAAAGTCATGTTCAAAAACTTGAAGCCGTGAATATACTATTTATGTAACAAATCTGACATTGCCCTGCATCTATCCTTCCCTCTCTATGTATATGTAGTTTTTGCATAGATTCACTGTGATTCCTTTTATTGCAAAGAAGTCCATAAAAAAAACTGAAACAACTATTTATATTCATATATGCATATATTTAAAACTAGATCCGTATAAAATGAGAATCGTCCATTACGAAGTTAACTCTTGGTAACACTGATCACATACTCGTTGTGCTTTTTTAGATGACGCTGCCACGATGGCTGTTTTCGACGAACATGTATCACAAAAGATATTTCCACAAGACCGACAATGATGTTTACGTTGCGTCATTGTGAATGTTTGATCACATTTCATACAATTATGAACGTCACTATCATTGATCCATCGGCGTTGAGTTAATTTGTTTGTATGGATCTAAGAAAAAACATGAGTGAAGGTTCAATAGTTTAGATCATTACTTGAAGGCCTTGGTATTCACGAGCTATTTCTTGTAAGGCAGATTCGAGATCGGAATTCTTTTTTGCCAATTGTCCATTTTCTAATAACAGCTTTTCGTTTCGAGTTTCACTTGTGACCGATCGTTCGAGAAGACGCTGACGTTCTTCTTGACTAGCTAACAAATGTGCTTCAAGATCTGTTGAAGAATGCTTGGTAGAACTTTAGAAACTGATGCTAAAGAGTGACAAACCTGCTTTTTCTGATTTGAGTTTTTCGAAAATGGCTAATTTTTCTTGTGCAGATTTGAGTTCACCACGAACATTACCGAGATTTTCTCGTAATGCCAATGACTGCATTTCATATTTCTTCGCTCGAGATTCAAGATCAGATCGAACGTCCGCTAATTCGTGTTCGAGAGCAGTCTAAGTAGAATAGAATAGAAATAGTTTTTGATTTATGGAGTAAAGATCTGCTTACAATTTGTTGTTCGGACTTTTTCTGCTGAAGTGTGGCCGATTGAATTGTTTCAGATAGAGATTCAGAGATCTGTACAAACTTCTGACTCGATTCACTTAATTGCATTTCTAAATTTCGCTTTTGCTCATCGTATTCCTCCACTAGTTGACGATGTTCATCTTTAATTTTATTCAATTGTTGTTCAGCATGCTGTCGCTCTTCTTCTATTCGTTTATCAAGTTTAGCCTATGGAAAACATGCGACGAACGGTGATCGAAAAACGATCAGTGATGAGAAATCTTACTCGATTATCAGCAATCATGGTGTGCACAACAGTTATATAATTCATATATTCATTACGAATGTCTTCTAGTGTTTGCGTACGAATAACTTGAGATTCTTTTTCAGTCTAGAATAATTGTGAAAGGATCGGAATCTAGTTGATAGTAATATAAGGATGTATTCTTATTTACCTGTTCAATCATAGCGTGCATATTAACTTGTGCGGGGGAGATTGTCTGTTGAATATATTCATGAGTTTTATGTACAAAATCAATACTACGACGAATACCAGCAGATATACGAGCAATAGAAGTATCCTGTGGAAATTACATTCGGAAAATACAAAAGTCGTTACTATTTGGTTACCTTTTCGTTCAGTTTGACATTCAATTGAGAAACTGTTCGTCGTAATTCATCGATTGCTTGTTGATCGTTTGATATTTGTTGTTCATAGTTATCTTTCTCAGCTTTCAATGTTTCGATCTCTAATTTAGTTATATTTATAACCACATCCTGTTGCAAATTATGCTGTTGTAAATCAGATTTATCTTTCTCCAACTGTAAGATCAATTCTTTGTGTTCATTTTCTAATTTTGCTTGCTGATTCACATGTTCCTCACGAGCAGAATTGAGTTCGTTTCTCAATTGATCTATTTGTCTTTCCTAACAAAGAAAACATTGTGCTAATCACCAAACTAAGTTTAACATACTCTCTCTTTATTAAGATCATCTAGATGTTGTTTCAGTGAATTGATCTGATTGTTCAATTGAGTTTGCTCTTCTTGGAGTTGATTCTAACAGAAAGAGAAATGAGTTAATTGTTCAATTTTTATCTCTAGCTTTACTTTTTCGTTGGTTCTTTCTGTTAGTTGTGTTGAAATCTGATTCAATTCTTTTTGAAGATTGTCTTTTTCTTTATTGATCTGTTTAATTTGTTTCCGAGAGTCTTTCGTTTTTTGTTCATACTGATCCTGAAGAATAATCATGATATATGAGATTTGAATCGAACAAATTCAGTCTTGCTCATTTACTTTTTCTTGTGTCAATTGTCGAACAAGATTTTGACGTTCATCATCTGCATCTCCATCCATTTTACTTAATAATAGTTGCTTTTTCTCGTCTTTAAGTTCATCTAAGAATTTCTCTAATTCCTGAATTTCACTGGTTAATTTCTCAATCTGCATTCGATTAGAAGTTGTTGTATTCTGTTCATTATTTAGATCATTAGTTAACTGTTCGTTTATTTGGTTCTAAAATATCAACCAACGACACTGATTAAGAACATACTGTCAACAGTACTGCAGATACTCACTCGTTGTTCAAGATCGAGATGTAGTTTTTCGTTTATCTCCTTCAATTGATCGATTTCCGTCTGATTCTACGATAATATTCAAACGAAGAAATTTAATCTCATCATATTCTTCAGTTTTTTTCTACTATCAAATCCTTCAAAAGGTTATTTCTAGGGAATAATGGGCTATTTTATATAGATTAAAAACGAAAATAGTCTAACGATCTCAGCTTCGTGTAATGTTCTCAGTGATCACTGAATATGTCGCAATTACTACATACTTCACTCAAACATTGCCGCATATGAGTTAATTGTGCTACAATATTGCTCTTTCGTTCGCGTGTTACTTGAACGAATTGCTTCACTTGGTTAAGATCGTTATGGATTTGAGATGTATGATTATTTATTATTTGATCATAAAGCATCATATTCTACGGAGAAAGAGAAATTCTCTAGAAAATTTCCAAAGAATTTCCAACATACTTGATCAAATGTGTTATTAATTTGGTCTAATCGTTCAGCATATTTCGAACTAATCATAAGCAAACAAGAATATTTTTCGTGCAAAAGAATGTTTGCTATTTTGCGTGGACTCACATATCTGAAAGAGCACTACGCAGATGTTCGATTTGCTGCTCTTTTTCCAACGACATTTCATTCATGCGTTGTTGAACAGCAATCAATTCGCGTTTTAGTACATCGACATCATCATTTGTTGGCCTAGAACACAAATACATAGTAAAAATATTCTTTTCTTGAGTAAAAAACCGATTGAGAGAACATGCAGAGATATGTATGTATGTAGCTATTGACATATTAGTTCACGTCACTACAAGCAGATGAATTCTACTTACAAACTGAATGTGATTTTGACGAAAAAAAAGGTTTTAATAAGAATGAATGTTTTACACAAAAGAATAACTATTTACCTTGGTATCAAATCATTACAAAGAGTATCAACTTGATTTTGTTTTTCTTTTAATTCACCCTAGTTTGGAAGAAAACGTAATGGAAAAGTTTTGAAAGTCAACGGAATAAACGACTAACTTGTGTATTGAGAAGCTCATCTGTAAACATGGCTATTTGAGCGTCATACACATCTTTGGTTGCTTTTAAATTGCCAATTTCTTGTGACTTGAAAAATCAGATCAAAGTCAAACATATATTTTCAAGATGAACATCTATTTTACTTGTTCAACAACTTTCATTTGTGTAGTACGTAATTGTTTTCGTAGTAACTCCATTTCTTCTTCAAGATCACCAACACGTTGTCGTTGTTGCATCAAGTCACTGCTTACTAAAGGCAAATAGTTATCAAATAAACAAAACTGTGTATATAAAATTCTCGTTTACATTGCATTCGACTTTCTTCTGATTGACAAAACTGTTGTTTCCATATGGCGACTTCTTGATGAGGATCCTAATACAAAATTTCAATGAGAAAGTGTATAACTATCAAAGTTTACTCACATCATATCGATCATTTCTTGTACCGTTACTTTCTCCATGATTCGCTGTTGCTGTGGTCGGTTGAGGTTCAGCATGAGCTTGAAGAAAGTGACGTTCAAGTCCAGTTGTATCCGGAAATTTCCGATGACACATTGGACAGATGAAACCCTACGATAAAATTGAACACATAATTTTACAGGAACAAAAAACTTTAACGAACTTCTTCATCAAATGAACAGATCGATCCAGTATCACTTTCATTCGTATTAAAACCATTGTTCACGCCAGTCTACAAAAGCGAAACGTCATGAAAACCAAACTTTCGACTTGAATTCATTTGCTCTTACTTTGAGATTCTTTATGCGATTCAAAAAGTTTGACATAATGGAAGGATATTTCAATGGAATACTAACACAGCAAAAACCTTTGCGTTATTGATTGATTTCAGTCATCACACCACACGCATATAATAAGGAATGACATACCTATTTGCCAACGAAGCAACCAGTTTATGAAGGAGAATGCAATGATGGCGCTAGTAATCGAAGACGAAACAAAAAATGTAGTCTTATCAATTTCACCTAAACAACAAATACAAGTATATGTTTTGCCTGAGAAATCTGTGTTAAAAAACGACGCAAAAAAATGTTTGTTTTCGTGCTAATTTTGCTGAGCATTGCAATTATTGTGATAAAATGGTATTTAGCTCGTATCTATGCATCACTTTATTGGTGTTGGGACAATGGAAACGAAGAAAAACGAATTTTCATCGATACAGATGATGTATCTTTTCCACAAAGTTTTCTTTGGGGCACGGCATCGGCTTCATATCAATGTGAAGGACCAGGCGATAGAGCACCGACAAAGTCAAATTGGTCAGAATGGGAACCCCAACATATTAAACGTGGCCAACAATGTGGAATTGCTGTAGATCACTATCATCGATACAAAGAAGATATTGAACTGATGTCTACACTTGGCTGTAATGCATATCGATTTTCGTTAGCTTGGGATAAAATCGAACCGATTGAAGGTCAGTATGATCAAGATGTTCTCGGCCATTACCATGATGTTTTAAGAGAATTACATCGGCAATCCATCGTACCGATGATAACATTTCATCATTTTGTTCATCCATTATGGTTTGAAGAGCGCTCCTCGTTCTTAAATTCAACCAATTCATCTGCATTTATTCGCTTTTCTGTTGATATGTTCAAAGAATTTCAGGATGAATGTCATCTATGGTGTACAATCAACGAACCGGAGGTGTATGTTAGTGGCGGATACTTTACTGGAATATTTCCACCTGGCCGCAAATCACAACCAAATGAAGCCTCACTTGTGCTACAAAATCTTCTCCAAGCTCATGTCGATATCTATGATGGAATCAAATCGATAGCTCGACAACCTGATCAACACTCGATTGGAATTGTTAAAGATATCTTTCAATTCGATCCCTATCATCCATTGAATCCATTAGATGTTTATATAAGCCGTTTATTAGACTATGCGATGAATGGTTGTATACTGGATTTCTTTCGTACAGGTTCTTTTAAATGGACAATGCCTGGTTCAACTCCACGAACATTTACAAATTCACGTGCACCACACACGAATGATTTCATTGGATTGAATTACTATTCACACTTCCTCGTTCGATTTAATCCATTCAAACCGTCGTCGTTTGAAATTGTACATCGTCAAGATGATAGTGGACCATCTCTAATGACTGATATGGCATATCCATTGTATCCTGAAGGATTATATCGTGCATGTGTTCGTCTGAAGGATGAATTACCACGTGTACCGATTTATATTACAGAAAATGGAATTGCTGATCGATGTGATGATCGGCGTCACTTGTTTTTAAGACGATATCTTTATGCATTGAGTCGCGCTATCAATGAAGCTGGCTGTGATGTCCGAGGTTACTTCTATTGGAGTTTAACTGATAATTTTGAGTGGGCTGAAGTAAGAATAGTATTTGATGATCAATCTGTTTTTTTTGCGTCTTTATCTATAGGGTTACGATATGAAATTTGGCTTGTATGATGTCAATTTGCAAACACAAGAACGAACATTACGTGATGGTGCAAAGTATTTTCAACAAGTCATTCAAAAGCATCGAGCAAAATATCAGAAGAAGATCACATAACTTGTTCGATATTCCTTACAATCTAAAACTACCATATGACCCTATCTGTTACAAACCTTTTAACTTGAAATATGATTATATGTAGAAAATATCTTCGTAGATCCATTTCATCAATCATCTTGAGAACTCATTAATTTCAATTATGTACATTGAATAATGACAAGAATCAGATAAGATAATTCATTTAATAAGACTACTATCTACAATAGTATGTTGTTTCTTTTTACACATCACTGTTACATATGCCTCGCCAATAAGAATAAAAAGAAATCAAGAGTAAACAGGAGACAAAAACAAACGAAACTTTGTAAGAGGATAATGAGAAGAAAAAAACGAAAGAAAGAAAATTAAAAATCAAAACGAGAAAATGACTCGACTTCATTTGCTTGTTGAGAGTGTGGGTGACGACGTCGATGACGTTGTTGTTTAAAACAAACTGTACAGAAACAGCTTGATCCTTGCAGACGATGGTAGAGAAGAAAATAACGGCATGGTGGACAATCAAACATACGCTCAATCAAGGCATTGCAACATGTATCACAATTCGATACGCTTTCCGACGATGATACTGATTGACTACATGTTGCTGACGTTGCGTATGTGTCACATGTCAGTACAGCAGGTTTTCCAATGACATTGATACAATTCAAAGCTATTGTTATGACCAACAGATAGATATACCATTGAGTTGCCATTGAATTTCTTGCCAACTAAATATAAAATCGAGAAATTGAAAGTATTTCCAAAAAGATGAGATAATTATTTGTAATTAACTTGAAGAATTTTACCTTGTGAATCCATTGTTTCCATTGTATTTTGTTCTTCTACAATCGATCTTAACAGGACAGCAGTTTTTCTTTTTTCAATCGAAAGAATTCAAACCGACTACATGGTACCAACTCTGTAGCTATATCTCAAGTTTTTTATTCGTAATAACGATCGAATAACAGTCTTGAACGCGTGATGTAAAGCAATTCAAGTCACATTCTTTCTCTCATTTTTTTTCTTTCTTTCTATGTATTGCGTGATCGTACAAAGAAGAATATGTTGCGTATGTGCTGTAAAAGAAAAGAGAAAGAGAAAAAAGGTCCTTCCGCCGTAATCTCTGTGTTCGTTCGCATTTTTCTTTCCTGCTTTGCTCTGTTCAATCTTACATAACACTATCTATCATATGAGTTGAGCATGTACAAGAAGAAGGGGAGAGAGAGAGAGAGAGAGAGAGAGAGAGACAGAGAGGGGAAAAAGAGAATGATTACATAATTTATCGAAAGAGAGTAAGCTTGGTTTATTACGAGAGATGCCCTTTTTGGTCAGTAGTTTCATCACTCTACGTATACAAATATATACAAAGAAACGAGTTGACCTCATAGTGCTGCAATATACATAGATGTAAATGTAAAAGGAGAAGGAGAAGGAGAATAGAACAAAAATGTGCAACACAATTGTGTGAGGGTCAATTGTGCTCACTATAAAGTGATAATGAACCCACACGTATATAAAGAGAATTCACCTACCGAAAGAAGAAGTCGAATAAATCGATTATTGATAATGGTTTCGAATGAATGGAAAAACAATACTTGAATAGAAGAATTGTTGTTAATATTTATATACACAACTATGAGTAGGAAGTCTTTCGAGTAGGCGATGACACACAATTAGCATTTTTAATTTGATGTTTTGCAGTATCTTTTACATGTCTTGCAATATTCGTACATCTGTTATTTGTAATACAATTTATCTTCTATATTAATTAGAAAACATATGTTTATTTCATCAAGTCCGTTTGCCTCTATTATTTATGACTTCTATCTGCTATCGAATATACGTCAGATACATTAATTCGACATACATATATTGAAGGAGTATTTTTATACTGAAGTACAAAGATCACAAATAAATATACTCTATAAATACTATTAGCTTGACAAATCTTTTCTTTTTTGTTTTGTGACAGATGATTCAGCTTGAAGACTTCTGATGATTAAGACAAATGAATGACATTCTAGTCAAACATACGTTTGTTTGATGTACGCAATTCCATTTATTTGAATGTTATGTACATGAATTCCAAAAGATGGAGTTTGCTGGACTAATATTTCTTTGATATAGAATACTTCAAAGAAATATATTTGTATCTGAGCATGACAAAAATAAACATGAACAAAAATATTGAATAGTATCTGACATCATATCTGAGCAAGAACAAAAAAATAAAGCAAATTAAGGATTGAAAAATAAACTTTTTAAGTGAAGTTGTTCAAGATGTGTTAGCGAACAGTTCGTAATTAATTGACGAACAAGTTCAATATAATCATCATTGAATGGAAGACTTCCCATTGTCTTACAAAGATCTGCAGCATTTTGTAAGCGATCACCGAGTGTTACAGTTACTAGAGTTTGTTTTGTAGGTGTAGATTCATCCATAGGTGATGAACGACGATTGCTTGGAGAAGAAAATTGTTCGTCGTTCATCGATGTGATATGATGAGTTGAGGATGAAATTTCATCGTTTAAATCTAATTGTTCACAATCAAGACTATTAATCAATGTTTCAACATCGTATAGTTTGTTCGAAGGATTTGTGACCATTCCTATTGGTATTGAAGACAAATTTGTTGTTTGAATGCTATCGTCAATAACTTAAATAACATGGAAATACTATTTTATTACATAGGGTAGAAAATCGATATACTCATAGATTCTTCTGATGTAATTGTCGTACGAACGGTAAGAGAACAATCAATCGTATTTGTCGATGACGAAGCGATAAGACGTTCTTGATAAAATTCAAGTGCTCTTCGCAAGTTAGCTGACTTTGATGATAAAATCGGATCCATTTCAATTTGATTCAATGATAAACGTGCAAGATCACCAACGGTACCGATGTTAACGGATTGAAAATGATCGAGAATATCGTTCGCACTACAAATGTAGAGTATATTTCTTTCGACAAGAAACTTTTTAGTGCATACCATTCATTGTCGGATAAGAGATCAACGAGACTATCAATTGATTTATTACAATCGATCAACGATGGAAAAATGTAATCGATTGTTTCAGTGCTCGATGAAGTCTAGAAGTAAATTCGTTTGTTAGAAGTGGATATATCTATGTAGATGCTTTATCTACTCAGACACTTCGAATTAACAACGACGAACAATAAACTAATTTCAACAGTGCAAAAACTCTAGTCATTAATCGAGATATCCAAAATGACTTAGAGATATT